ATAATCGCTTTGGAGGCTTTATCTTCATGACCCTCCTGTGGTTTACGGCTTTCTTTGGTTCCATGTTGATGATGGGACCTTTAATACCTCTCATGTTCATCAGGCCTCTTGCATTCAGGTACATCAATGATAATCTCATGGCCTTGTGGTTAACATTACCTGTGGTAAGTGCGCTCATTAACTGGGCAAGTCCATCATCACTATCTTCCATACATTACCGATTTACATCCAAAACCTGCACGGTCACAGTAAATACAATTCATGCCTCTAAAGCATAAAAAATGTCCACACATTGAGAAAAACACTTTTTTGGGTAATAGAAATAGGAAACTTCCCTTCTCACTCTAATAGTACCTTTGTAACAGTATTAGTTAATGATCACATAACAAAACAAAAAAAATTTGCTACAGTACTTAGAAATATGTATGTTTTAAAGTAGTTGTATATTTTTTTATTTTTGAGAATGGTGGGTTATGTTTGTAAAGATATCAATTCTAGGAATCAAGGTTGTTGCCATTATTTTTTCTTAGTGATGAGGGTATATGATATTTATTTGATTGTCACTTATGAGCTGTAAACCAATTTACTAAAATTTTAGATTGCAAGTTGCTACTACCGTATGTCTGTATACAAACTTAAGTACTTATTTCTTGGGGGAGAGGGAAAGAGAGAGAGAGAAAAAAAATTAGTGCAGAGTCATAGTATTCATCAATCTGTTATCTACCGGTACATGTATACCTATTAGGTATATAAGAAAAATTGAAATATCTCCAGTGCCTGTATATCATAAAACTGAAAGATGTCTCCAGTATTTTGTAACAAATTCTAACTTCTGGCAAATATGTACCGGTATGTATACATGTATTCACACTCAGAACTTTTTTTGTTTTTGTTTCATGCTCATGACTTTATGGAAAACTACAGCTACTGTTAGGTGAGTTTTCTTTGAATGATCTTTTATTTTATCTTTTGAATGTAGACATGACTTACGGAATGAGTGGAATATAGGCTCAGTACATTTTCTCCTAAATAAAGACCTAGATCCAGTCAGGAAAAGGATCAATTTGTGTAATTATTACATCCATTCATGTAGTTTCCACAGATCAAGTATATTATATGTGTGATGATAAGAAATATAGTTCCAATTATTTCATGTAATCTGTAATAATTTGAAGAAGATTCAATGTCACTTCACTACTATTCATGTGCACTGCATCCTTTGTATATCCCAGATACAAATAGACTGTATGCTGATAAAGCAGCAGATTTTGTTAACGAATGAGGCTAATACTGCTTTCAAACTGGCTTCTATCGGAGTCACACCGATGAAAATACTGATTGAATTTTCCTTATGTATTAAAAACAAAGGTGAAACCGCCGTTTTCTCCCTGTTGCTTTCATACTGCCGGTGAAATTTACTCGCTGTGGCGAGCCCGTGCCGGTAGTGAAGAATTATTGCGTAATTATTAAGCCCGCGCTCCATCTAGCTGGCATGTAGCATGTTCAACCATAAGTCAACAAACACAGCTGGTTACGATAAAGCGCGCATACACTGCGACCTTTGACCATTTTAATCACTGTTTTAATCGCCTTTTTCTCCCGAACGCTTTCATACTGGCCGTTTCATCGGTGTCACACCGATAGAATGAGATTTTCTCCTGCTCTTGAGCAGGAGAATTTAATCGCCTATTTCTCTTCTTTTCATCAGCTATTTAATTGCCTTTTTCTCCTCTGTTGCTTTCATACTGGCTGTTTCATCAGATGCATCTAACAGGCCAGTTAGAAAAAGGTATAATACTGATGCATACCGGTACACAATTCAGGCACAGTAGTTAGACAGAGCGTAGTCCCTTACAGTTAAAGGAGATTTGATTATAATTCCTTCACTGAATACACAAATTATGTACGAAGATGATTCATTACTAGTCCTGTGCAAAATCAAGACAAGATTTTTATGCCTCCGCCACCGAAGGTGGTGCCGGAGGTATCATGTTTTCGGGTTGTCCGTCCGTACGTCCGTCCCGTTTGACCGTTATCACAATATCTCAAGAACCATTTAAGATTTAAACTTAAGACTCGGGAATAGTATTTATCACCATAGGAAGACGATCTGATTAGATTTTGGAGTACGTAGGTCAAAGGTCACAGGTCACAGAGGTCAACTTATGAAATTCCTTGTATTGAGTTTGTTAGCGCGATATCTCAAGAACCATTTGAGATTTAAACTTCAAACTTAAGGATAGTATGTATCACCATAGGAAGACGATCTGATTAGATTTTGGAGCACGTATGTCAAAGGTCAAGGGTCACAGAGGTCAACTTATGAAATTCCATACATTGAGATTTATTTATTTATTTATTTATTTCTGATCTTTTGACAGGGTAGCCCATTCACCAGCAAGTAGTGGTCTTCCATGGGGCCCTGAATGAACATATTGTTATCATGATTGTTATCATGATATCTCAAGAACCACTGGAGATTTAAACTTCAAACTTAGTGATAGTGTGTATCACTATAGGAAAACAATCTGATTACATTTTGGAGCACGTAGGTCAAAGGTCAAGGGTCATAGAGGTCAACTTATGAAATTCCATACATTGAGATTGTGATCATGATATCTCAAGAACCACTGGAGATGTAAAAACTTCAAACTTAAGGATAGTATGTATCACCATAGGAAGACGATCTGATTAGATTTTGGAGCACGTAGGTCAAAGGTCAAGGGTCACAGAGGTCAACTTATGAAATTCCATACATTGAGATTGTTATCATAATATCTCAAGAACCACTGGAGATTTAAACTTGAAACTTAATGATAGTGTGTATCACCATAGGAAGACAATCTGATTAGATTTTGGAGCACGTAGGTCAAAGGTCAAGGGTCACAGAGGTCAACTTATGAAATTCCATACATTGAGATCGTTATCGCGATATCTCAAGAACCACTGGAGAATTTTCACTTCAAACTTAATGATAGTATGTATCACCATATCATAATATCTCAAGATCCACTGGAGATTTAAACTTCAAACTTAATGATAGTGTGTATCACCATAGGAAGACAATCTGATTAGATTTTGGAGCACGTAGGTCAAAGGTCAAGGGTCACAGAGGTCAACTTATGAAATTCCATACATTGAGATTGTAATCATGATATCTCAAGAACCACTGGAGATTTAAACTCCAAACTTGTTTAAATTGCTCTATGGCGGAGGCATCATTTTCGACTGCACGCAGTCAAAATTCCATCTAGTTTATGTTGTAGCCTGTTATGTCAGATAATTTTGAAATAATGTCAATTTCAAATATACTGTATTATGGCAGGACTGCAACAAATTCTTGCTTACTTCTTACTAGCTGATTATGATTCTAACACACACAATGCAGTGTAAACTGATGTATTTCTTTCTTCTTTGTCTTTTGTCTAACTGGACAAATAATTTTTGAAATTTGCCATGTCAGTGGTTTTGCCAACAAATATTTGAACAGTTTTACTTTTATATTTGATTGAATCTGTTATTTTCAATAAAAATGGAGAGCATAATTTTGACCTTTTTCTCCTCAGAAATATTTTTTGGAGTGAAATGCAGAGTGAGTGGTGACAAACTGAATAAGTCTGAGACGAGCGTCATCATCATGAATCATCGGACGAGACTGGATTGGATGTTCTTCTGGATTCCTCTCTTCTCTCTCAGCTCTGTACGATCAGAGAAAATCATCCTCAAGAATGAACTCAAATTTGTACCTGGACCAGGTATGGTAGTAACCCCACAAATGTTTGGGCAATATTCACTTTGGATGTATTTCCTCAAAATATAAATGTGTTATTGACCACCCAATAAAGTGAAATCAATATGGGATAAGATGCACCATTGTAAATTCGGGCCATAGAGTAAAGATTAAGGCTGCTGTTGTGGGTTTTATGCAAGGTTTTACATTACATAGGGGTTTTGTTAGGTTTAGGGTCCAGAATTGAATTTTGGTTGTAGGTTATTGACCGTGTTGTATCGTGGGGATCCAACATTTGTACAAATTGACTATTCATAATCGGATTTCAAACATCGGGGCTGGAGATGAATTGAATATCTTTTAATGAGTCAAATAGAGCAAAGTCTTGTATTTGCTGGTTTGGGTACTTCGCCAGTTCAGTAAATTGGCAAAAGGTAACAAAAACACATGATTTTCCTCTGAAACTGATACTCTTCTTGGATTAGGGTTGATGTGCAGCTTTTCGTCAAATTGTTTCTTTGCATTCAGGCTGGGCGATGCAGATAGCTTCTTATGTCTTCTTGAGGAGACGCTGGGAACAAGACAAGGCCTGGATGACTATGATGTTAGACTACTTCTGTGATATACAATACAATGTTCAGTACCTCATCTTCCCAGAAGGTTGGTTGATATTTATTCTCCTATATTTTATTTCCACTGCCTCAAATTCTGGAAGAGTTAATAACAAAAAATGTCCATGTTTACTTTATAACCAGAAAAATCTAAATAATCTTAGTTATTGTTGGCTGTTTTTGCTTGAAGACAACTTGTGAGTACAAAACACATGAGAAATCCCCAAAGTTTTTTGTATTTAAAAGTTTTTTTTCTTCCAATATGTAAAGAATAATCATGGTTTTACATGAAGCTCATCCAGCTGCTATCATTGTACCCACTAGGTACATCCAAACCCATTCAATACACCTAGGTAGAGAGAGACAACTGTAGATAAAATGCATTATCTTGTGACTTGGATGCTTGGTATGATACAATTCTTTAATTTTTTAAATTCTCTATAGCTCAGCTAAAGCCAGAATAATAATACTTAATTATACAAGGTGTGATTAAGTATATTTGAATGTAATTAATAGTCATAATTATATACCTCACTTAAGAAATCCAGCCATCTGATTGGTCGAAATTGCATTCATAAACTTCAACTATTCCTGAAATTCCCGGTAAAATTCCAAACCCTTGTAATAGTTCTAAAAAATAGTTCTAAAATCCCAGTAACCATGGTTACCGGGAAAATAGTTCAGTCTTGGTGAAATACCCATAGGTTGACATGTTGAAAAATGGTCTGAGCGATCGAGGATACCGTACGTGTGCGATGAATTAGTCGGTAATTTCAATACAATTGAATCTCGATCGATCTTACCGACAATTTTATCTTGCATTGTTGACATGAAGACGAAAATAAACTTCCAAAAACAACATCTGCCGATAGATCTTGATCTAAGTTCGTGCCAATGCATTGCAAAAGTAAAAGAAGGGCCCGTTTAATGGAGCTGCCGCGAAGTTTCCAGCACGCGAAGCCGTTTCCAATCCATTTTAATCTATACGTTATAGAAAACTGCTAGTATTGGTGTCAGTGCGCGATGGCCGAGCGGTCTAAGGCGGTGACTTTAGTCACATCATCTTTGGTGCGCAAGAGATCGAATCCCATCTTCGACAAAAGTTTTTTATTTTTTATTTTTTATTTTTTAGTCTACTCTCAAAGATACACTCTTAAAAAACAACCGTGCAGATAAACTAGATAAAGGCCAAGGTGGTGTCATGAGTTGACTCTTTTTTTTTTTGGCATATAAAAGTATTAATGACTGCTTTAATATTCGAGAAATAGTTGTTTTTATACGCTCTCGGGAAGGTTACAATTGGGCTATTGCCCTCGGCACGCCTCGGGCAATAGCACAATTCTAACCTTCCCTTGAGCATATAAAAACAACTATTTCTCTCAAAGCAGTCATTAATACTATATTATGATTCAACTTCTTAAACTTTTGATCAAAATTGAAAGTCTATGCATCACTATTTACCAGAGTTCTAAGGTACCCATTAGAAAGCTAATATTAGTAGACTTCAAAGTAGTCTATTGATTCCAATAAAATTGATTGAGTCATATTTACATGTAGGTGAATATTTTCCCCAGTTTGATTTGTTTTTTCATTAAAAAGTTTGCCCTTGCATTGTAATTGACTGTAGACTCCTTCTAGATCTACCAGTCATGTTGGCAACTAAGATTATTCATGGAATACATATTTTAATTCAATCTTACAGGAACTGACTACACTGATCACAGTAAGGATAAGAGTGACTCCTATGCAACTAAAAATAATGTACCAAAGTATGAATATGTTCTTCATCCCCGAACAACAGGCTTCAAACACATCATGGATCATCTTAGGAAACGTGAGTATTAACTTCCTCCCCCCAAAAATAGTAATAATAATTGCAAAGTTAAAGGTTATACAAACTTTTGGTATGGGGTCATGAATTTGGTTCAAATGAACATATTAGACGCATATGAGATCCTACAATATTTAGTGATTGCTGTCGCGGTTGAAATCAAGTCTAAAGTTATGAAATTGTAAATAGTTAACTCTTCATGTTGTATAGCTCCCTGTCAAGGTCAAGATATTAATTAAGCTATAAAACAATGTTTCCTGACTAAAATCGACCGATAAGCTATTCCGTTTGGAAATTATATATCACAACTACATATTCTGAGATTTTCCTGGTCGCAGCTACCATTGTTCGGTCGAAGGTGCTATTTGAAATTTATCAAAATTTACCAGTGCTCCCGGTAAATTTTGATATTCAATTTTTCTCGAAAGCAGAAGTGTTTGAGGAGCTAAATTTTCTAGTACTTATAACACATCCACAGGGGCATCCAAATATATCAAAATTGTAAAGAATCACTATCCACTCAATTTTCAAAATTTCCCAAAACTTTGTATTACCTTTAAATAAAAGTGAAAAAAAATTATAAAGAAGAATCGATGCAATATTACAGGTCTAGATTGATGAGTTACTTTATTTGTGACGTTGTAATCTTGATCATGCTTTAGCAGTTTGCAGTTAGCTTTACATATCTACTTTTTCCCCAAAAATGTTCTGCCTTGATGAAAATGGCTTAATAACATATTGATACAGAGCCATCAATCAAGGAAATACTGGATTGTTTGTAATCCTTTCAAGTGCAGGAATATCAGTAACATGACATATCTGTCTGTTCTAGTTACTGGTATTTGTACCAGATTCCAATCTAATTTGTTTGATGTACGTTTATATAAAGGACTAAGAATTTCATCCAAGATACAACAATACTATGTAGAGTTTGCTGAAATTAGAATGGTCCATAAACTTATCATTGTGCATCAGATGAACAGTCCAAATTTGACCATATTTTATGAAATGAGATGTATCATGTTACATAGGAAGATTACTTAATTTTATTTAATTCTTGTGCCAACATTGGAATTTTCAGTATAAGTTTTTTTCCCCCTTTCTTTAGTTAAAATATTTTTGAGTAGATGTATTGTCTAGTAGGGCATCTTAAAGGGTGTATAAGTTGTTTCCTCAGTCCTCATAAGTCTTTTCATGCTCTAGACACTTTTCTCTTTGGACAGGTCAAGCCGTGGATGCCATCTACGATGTGACCGTGGCCTATCCTGACAGGATACCGGTAGGTGGAGAGCTAGATATCTTCAAGGCCAAGCTACCCAACGAGGTCCATTACCATGTGAAGCGCTATGACATCAGTTCCTTACCACAAGATACAGACTATGAAGAATGGTGTGTGGAGAGATGGAAAGAGAAGGAGGTAGAACTCAGGGGGTACTACACAGGAGACAAAAAATTTGTCTCCGGGAACTCGACAGGGGACGGGTTGGATGGTAAGATTGTTCCCGGGATGTACAGGACTCTCTTTGTTGCTTTGATCTATTGGATCTTATTCATACTGTTCATGGTTTGTTTGTTGGTTTACACGTCCATTGCTTGGTGGCATATGCTTGCCGTTGGGTTATTCTTCACTGGTACTTCAGTGTTTTATGGAGGTGTGGAGAAACTGGCCATTGATGCATATTACTGGCATGTGGGATGGATGCAGCCAGCAGATAAGTCTTCATAGTAAACTGTATGGAGGGTGTGGGTACAGATTATTCACGTTTACATCCAGAGAGAATCATTTAAAATGATGGGAAACATTGACAGCACAAAGTCTGGAAGGTGGTTGCACAAAACATTATACTTTTTTGATAATTAGGGAAATATATTACAAGGAATACACTGCTTGGTTGACAAAGTGGAGGTGTAATGGGAATTGTTTATTGTTACTTATCAATTTATATAGTTATTAAAACTAATATTAATGTATTGATTCATATACTGTCATCTACATTTTTGTTTTCACATCATGTTCCACAATGTGCTGGTGTTCACAAAGAGCAAAAATTATTTCATAATGAAATAAGATCATGTAGTTTAATAGCAGAATGCTGTGTCAAATAGAAACCTTGGACCTGTAATAAACACCCGCATCTGGTCTAATGGTGTTAACAATTAACTTTCAATTATCCGAGATCTGGCCAATTGAGGCAGGCATGCTCTCAACATTGTTATTTGGACACTGATGAATGCCTATCCTGATTCATAAGATTATAGATAGGGGAAAGACCAGTGGCGTACCTGGGGTACTCCGTCAGGGGGGGGCAAGCGACCGAAACAAACAAAAAAGGCGATGCTAATTTTCACTTCTGGCGAGCGAGCGAGCAAAAAAAAAATCTTTAAGTAATGTTTGGTATATAAACTGGTATTGTTGGGGGTGGGAACATTCACTTGTTAGTGACGTTAATTTCATTTTTTTTGCAAACGAGTGTAGCGAGCAAGAAAAAAATCACTTCTTTTTTAATAATTGCCACTTAAACTTGGTTCAATTGTCCCATGCAGGGCGCGGGAACAATATTGTGTTTAGGGTGATTTTATACCCATTTTAGCTAGCGAGCGAAAATACATCTTTCTCTCAATAAATTGCTATATCAAATTTGTTTCATTGTTGCAGGTAGGTGGCTGGCACAATCGTGTTTAAGGCAATGTCAATCCCATTTTGGCGGGCAGGCAACCCCCTACATTTCTCTTTTTAATGATATTGTAGCAGGTTAGTGGTGGGCACATAATTCCACGAGCTAGCGAGCGTAGCGCGCGAAAAAAAAATCACTTCTCTTTTATAGGGAAAATATGGTACATAAAACTTGGGTTCATTGTTCCATGTCAGGGACGTGATTATTAAAAGCGGTGTTATTTCTATTTTAATGATATTGTTGCAAGTCAAGGGTGGGCACAATTGTTTCCAAAGCAATGTCTATTCATTTTATTCGCGAGCGAGTGTAGCGAGCGAGAAAAATAAATTAGTCTCTTTTAGTAACATTTAGTACGTATATTGTGTGTTATTGTTGCCATGGTTGCAGGTCGGGGCCCGTAGGGGCAGGCACAATTGTATTCTAGGCAATAATAATCCTTTTCTTTTTTTAGGGGGACGAGCAAGTGAAAACATTTAATACAAAATAGGCTAGCAAGCAGTTCGCGCCAGCAAGGAGTTTCGAATTTGTTATATCACTTATATTTTCCTATTTTCATTTGTTTTAATTTTTCAGGGCCGTATGCGGAATAGTTTTCTGGTGGGGGAGGGGGAAAGATGCGTTAAAAGTTTTCGAAAAATCTCAAAAGCAAAAGGAGTGAAGGGAGTTCGAGCGACCGAACTGGTCATGAGGGTACTTTTGCATTTTCAAAAGTAGAATTGAAGGATTTGGTATAGGCCTACACTACATTTTCAGGAAAAAAACTGTACGTTTTCAAAATATCTGGGGTCAACTGCCCCCCCCCCCCCCTGGTGCGTACGGCCATGGTCTTTTTTTTTTTTTTTAAATTTCCCCATTTTATTCCTTTCCTTTTCTTTTCCCTTTTTCTTCCTTTTCTCTTCTTCTTCCTTTTTTCTTTCCTTTTTTCTTCCCTTTTCCTTTTTTCTTTTTCTTTCCTTTCCTTTCTTTTCTTTTCTTTCCCCTTTTTCTTTTTTTCCCCTGGAGCCCGTCAGGGGGGGGGGGGGCACTCTGCCCCCCTGCCCCCCCCCATAGGTACGCCAGTGGGAAAGACGAATGGTGATTGGCCAGATGTGTCCCTGTGTTAAAAAGATTTGGTCTTTCATGCACCTTTATTTTACAAAGCTACTGACTAAAGCATTGTTTCTTGAAACATGTAAAGATTACCTTGATTCATTGATTGAGAGCTTTAAATACGGGTTATTTATTACCTAAAACATGTATTATGTTGCAGATGCTGAGTATATTCAGTATTGTGCCTTTGTTTTGGGTACATTTTATTATTTTACCCTTTGAAATGTTGGTTGATTTTATGATTATTAATTATCATATTTCTGCTGCATGGTTTGCATGAAATTTAAATTGTTAATTTTTTCTTTTATACAAGGTCACAACCAAAGATATACATCTCATTAAGAAAACTTCATTTAACCTCCAGTTATATTTTTTACAATTTTTAGTATTTTTTTTATAATTTTCGCATCTTTAATCAGTTTAAGCATTATGTTTGGTGTTTGTATGTACAGTGCATTGTGAATAGTTAAATGTAACTAATAGTGGTAGTGATATGGTTTGATGTACCTGTAACGGAATGTGATAATGATTTGGTAAACTGGTTGATTACTCCTGAGAGTGTGATATATATGCATCCTCTTTAACAAAATAACACATTAAGACTTTTACGTCTTTCGCAGAGTCAGAAGTTTGGATTTAGTGATATGCAAAATGATTTTCATGTACAAAGTATGATTTCAAGATTACGCACTAGTAAGCATAAATTGATCCCCTGTTCCTTACCAAAGAAAATAAAAGTACAACATTGAATGTCCTGCCAGAATCATTAATTGCTGGTTTGATGAAACAACTGTATCATGTAATCATTAATGTGACAACCTACTGAAATAATTTACAAAGCAGTAGTTGCAGAACACCTGTTCAGTACTATAAATCAAACTCTCATCTGCGAAGGTTGTCTTTTATTGTGAAGATATATTAATGAAATAAATCTGATTTGTTGGTTCAGGTTGATGTTTTGAAGTAAATATGTACTATTATTTGCAGCTCGAGGTGTCAAATTAAAACAAAGAAGACTATTAATAGTGAAATAACAATTAATGATGTGTTTGTACATGTGTTAGATATTTTAACAGATGCTCTTCATGTGTATTCCATTTCAGACAGTAATGTTTTGGTGCAATGCATATCAACGTTAATGTTAGAAGGGCTCTTGAAAACGAAGTGATTTTAATACCCTACTTCAGATATAAAGAACTTGTTTACTTTTTATTTCGAAACTAATGAAACTGTTAGTGTTCTGTGCACAACTCAAGGTGTATTGTTCATGTTGTTGCATTTCTATTTCATGCTCATTTTGATGCAAGTTTGTTGTGGGTTGTTTTCCTAATGATTTGTTCTAATTGTTTAAGGTTTGCTTGTAGATATCCAATCTCAAAGAGAGGGTTCTGTAGCCTTTAACAATAGGGACTTTTTGATTTGAACGACGAAAACGTGGACTGCAACGTATGACATCCTTTTAAGGCACTGCCAGTGCTTAAAAGGATGTCACACGTGACTGCCAGTGCCTTAAAAGGAAGTCACACGCCCACGCAAATGGAAAAGTCCCTAATGTTACTGTTTAGACGTGTAGAAGGTAATCAATAATATCAATGCTCTTTACGACTTCAGGAGCTAACAAGCACATGCATTTAACCAAAGAAACCAAGAGCCATAAAAACTCAAATGTACATTCATTTGAAGAAACATATGGTAGTTCTTTTGGAGATGCCAGTGGTAATGGAAGTTATAAACTGTAGAAGATAAAAGCATTTATTTACATATAGAAACATAGGTCTTGTGTAGATGGAATTGACCATGCATAGAAGCATAGAAACATAGAAGCATACATAGATGAGTATTACATGTAGAAATGTAATTCTTACTAGAGATGTGATTCTTTTTGGTGCTATGAATAGCCATTTACTATGCCAATTTCTTTCATGAAGCATTGCTTATCTCAGCTATACATCATTTTCCTCTTCCAGAACCAGGAACAGATTAACGCTGAAATCTTTTTATGTAAGAAAAGAATATGGTGTTTGTTGAATAGGGATGATGCAATTTGAACCAATATGCCAGATTGTAGCAGCAAGGATGTGCAATAAACTTACAAATTAGCAGAGGAATTGGTAGTTGCATTCTTAATTGCAGGCATAGTCCATTTCCTTGTATGACATACAGTATTATAGTGAGTTTTTTCTTGATCTTTGGTTGAGAACTTTTCACAAACTTATGCCAAAATGTTTGATTTTGGGGGGTCATTTGAACCACATTTAACATACAAAGCTTTTCATTTTGTTATCATCAATTGCAAATGATTTAATCTTTAGGTCTGGAAATTGTCTTAAAATTGGGTGATATAAGGTTTTTATGTATCAGATTTGAGACTTTGATAACAATCTCTTAGGCTCTATTCTACTTGTGTATAAGCTGATGTTTTCGTGTACAGATGTTTTTGTGAATACCTGGGACCCAGATTTTCAGGAGTTATTTTGTTCATGATGATTAACATGAGCTAGTTATGTAACATCCAGATGATCCAGCCATATGCCATGTATGATCTCCTATGTGCACATTTTTTGGTTTGCTTTCGGAAACATTTCTTTCGTAAAAACTGGTTTCAAATTCAAACTCTAGTCACCAGCAATGAGGATGATATCTAATATTATGAGTAAATCTTCTTAAAAGCTTTAATCTTCTCATAATCTTTAAAAATCTGATTCATAACGCATGTCAGCATTCAACATTTCATTGTTACTACACTTTCTTGGTATTCATGAAGTTTTATGGTTACCTATTTGTGACAGATTTAAGGTTCTTCTTGTTCTTTTTGACACTATAATGCCTCATTTTTAGATCTGGATGTATGGTGGGATATTACTGAAGTCTTGAAATGATAAAAAAAAATTAGGAAAACAAATTCAAAGAACTTTTTCTCTGTTGTATTAGCTAGTTGTTCATACTCACTATGAAGTTATCTTTCTTCCTTTCCTGAGATGTTTGATTGTTTGATATTTGTGTTATGAATATCACATTAAAATATATTTATATGGATTATTTGACTTCATGCATAATTCTCTCATTTCACTGTGTGACTACAGTTGTGTATCAAGTTTGTTTAGAGGGATTTTCAGATATTTCCAAGTTCCAACCTATTAGCAATCTACAATAAATTAAAAAACATCTTTTTACATGTATAAAAATGAATACGTGTAAAACATGAATCAGGATCCTTTATACCATCATATTTACAAGAATAAAAATTTAATCAGTTTCATTCTTTTGCTCATACAATGAATCTGCAATGGCTACTACTTTGCGGCATTGGTGCACTGGATTATACGAACAATCGCTCCATTGTGGTGTCAATATGGCTCACACAATGGTAACAAAAGTGAATGGGTCTGCAAGACACGTCCAAGGGCGCGTTCATGCTTGATTTTGAAGGCAGAATGAGCGATTTGTAACGCTCATCGTAATCGCAGTTCCACGGTGCACTGTTCATGCTCACTTCTCCAGGCAATTCTCCTTGGGTGGCCTTCAGCTGGATTCGCAAACCTGTGTGCGCATGCTACGTAGACCCACCAGAGGTCAGTGCGTTGACCCCATTTAAACGCGTTTAAAAATTGTAAACGCATCTTTTTGTGAGTTTACGATCGGCGATCGTGATCGCCGTTTTTCGGTGATTCTACAAAAGTGAGCATGAACGCAAGCGTGTTTTAAACTAAACGCGTAACAGATGCCTGATTCTGGCCGTCAAAATCAAGCATGAACGCGCCCCAATTTGTCAAAGCAGAATTGTGTTGTGAGAGATGTTCCTCTTAGTTCAGGGACTTGAGTGTGTTCTTGCTCAGTGCCCAAATGATTTAAAACCAAATTTTGGTTTATAGCCTGAGTCCGTCATTACCTTAAAATCTGAAATTGCAAATAAATACTGTATTGGCAAAAAATGTCTGCCTGTGCCAAGGCAGACCACATAGGCCTATAGCTCAGTTGAGCATTTGCCCGTAGATAAGGTTAATAACTCGATCAATGTTTACGATCTGTGGTTTTCTGGACAGTTTTCTTTTTCCTTTTATTGCAATTGGTGGCTTTTGGACAATTTGTAGGCCTATATAAAATAACAATCATTTCAGGTGGAGTGGGGGGGGGGGGGGTGGAACCTAAATAACAGACACACCCACCCCCACAAAAATAAAAGTACCACATTTTTAGAACGGTGTAGAGATCGATATGTCCAAATTTCTTTTTCAATCATTGATTACCCAAAACGTTCGAGATCGTTGAATTTCTGCATGCATATGGAGCCAACAAATTTCTCATTATTTTTATGATGAAGATATATATCATTAAAAATCACCAATTAATCATAAAGTCTATAAAGAAGACTTTGGGGTTTTCAATAACGTTGAAACATTCCTGTTGTAAGAAAAATGATTGAAGCTATAATAATATAATACACAGCTAGGGTACATGAAACTTCGTTACAATATTTCTATTTCATTGTGTTAAAAAATAACACACGTAATTTTGTTATTCCTCCCCATCCGCGGGATCTCCAGCATAATTTGATCATTTCAGCGCGCTCTGATTCGAGTTGCCGCGCGTTATGCATTCAAGCGGAAAGCTAACCCTAGGATGTCATCGATATCGCTATTAATCTGTACCACATTATGGCCATACGGTAGGGCTAAAACGTCACTGAGGTAGACTTCCCATCCAGTCGTTTGTTGTTAATCCCCACAAGAACAACCACGTTCAGAGTTCAGACCGAGAACGTGTTTGGGATTTAGTGTGACAGCTCCACTTCTTCGATCGGACCAAATGTTGGTGTTATCATGTTTACTCAATGATGAATGAAGCCATGATACACGTAGAGGCTGGTAAACCAATTGCGCTGTATTGCCTCTAGGCGTTTCGGACTGTCGGGGGGGGGGGGGGGGGAGGGGGAGGGGCTGAAGCCCCCCTCCCCCATCCGCGGAACCCGGACCCCCATACAAAAAAACTATATTTATAAAAGAGAAAGAAAGGAAGAGAATGGCGAATGCTCCTTATAGAGACCACCGATTTTAGGACAAGAAACAGTATTAATTCGTGGTTCGGTAGCCAGGCTTGATTTTATGACTCTTGAAACAGGCATCCTCGGAGATTTCCTGTCAGAATAAATAGATGCATAACTGTTACTGAATGGAGCTATGTGTCCAAGCTCGCGTGAATTTGTTTACCACTATTATTCTTCTCGGGGAATGCAAACCAGCATCGGTGTATTTACAAATTGCAAATTTGCAACCTTTTGGGAATTTGGGGATGTCCGATATTTATCTTCTATTTTCTTTGAATATACGGGGGTGCTTTCAATAGATTGAATGTGAAAGATCCTATATATTTGGATTCCCTCGTCAGGCAAGTTATAGATCCATTTTATATGACAAGTTAAACCCTGCTCATTATTATTTGCATGTTAAAAAGTTATATACAGACTGAAAAACGGGATAATTGATAGGATGTCGCTGTATAAAGAGGGAATAATACAAGAAAACTAAAACTTATTAAAAGATTATATTATGGGCAAGTGGGGAGACGGGACATATAGTATGGCTTTGTGGCTAACGCTGCCGGCCGCAGCTATGTACAATTACTGATGTCAGCTATACTAAATTTGCATCGCAATTTTCACTCTCTTTAAATCCCCATCCCCGGGGGAGGGGAATACTCTGATTTGGTTTGGACGGGGGTGTGCCGCTCAAGCCTCGAAACCCCTACCCATTATTAGGGGTCATTTGGGGTAATTTTTCTCGAACAGACCCATTTCCCACAATTTTCGGGTGTTTTTCGGGCGGCACACCAACGTGTGTCCGAATATGTGAGTACCCCCCCCCCCCCGGTAAATTTCCCGATTCACTTGAGATGGCTCCTTGGTATAAACTCCCCGGTAGTTATAGAAACAAACAATGAAAAGCCCTAAACCATCTCATTCACCATACCCGCCTCCCCTTCAACGTCCTCCCCGATAGATGTCAGCAAGGACCCACCCCAAACCTTTGCATCCCATATATAACCCAATCTTCATTATTTTAAAATATTTCCCGCCTAGCTGAATTAAACTCCTCTGTGCCATACCATTATGAGTAATACAAAAAAAAATTACACTCAGAAAATTGTCATTTATTTTAAAAGTCAGCTATAAACGAAAGGTTAACATGTTTTGAAATCGTTTTGGTTTGGTACGTTATCACGCTTGGCCTTTAACAGGAGGCATTGTTTGCGAGAGGGCAAAAATCGACTTGTGCAAAAGTTAAAGTGAGAGAATGAATTGAATGTATCAAAATGAGATGCATCAGTTTTTGCAGAACCAAAGTCACAAACACACACAAACACACACGCGCGCGCACAAAATTTTCTTTGATATTTGATATTTGATATGATTGTGTGGCATGATTAATATTTTGTTAGGGATGTTATTTGGATCTGCAAAGACCGAATTAATACCCAAAGCCCAATTATTTTATTCAAACATCACAACAAGTGATTATCTGGCGCAAGTCGATTTTTGCACTCTCTTAACTTGTTCATCCGAAGCGTGAACACATACACACACAAAATGATACCAAGTGATTTGGAATACGATGTAGATCTATAACAATTTACTGTTCATAGGTGATTTTTAAAATAATTAGCAATTTTCTATAGGTGTAAACTTAAGTTGGGACTAAAATGGGATATAGGTAGCGCATATGAAACGCCCAAACGTACCCGCCCCACCACTCCCCATCCACACCCAGGTTCAACTTTTTGATTGCGGAGCTTGAGACTAGAAAGAGAGTGAGTGAGAGAGAGAGAGAGAGAGAGAACTGAGAGAGAGAGAGAGAGAGAGAGAGAGATGAGAGAGAAAGAGATGAGTGCGAGTGGATAGCATTTTATTTATACTGGCCCAGGAGACGCGAAACCTAAGGGTTAGGTCCTCGCAATTTCAGTTTGTTGTTTTCCCTATCATAAAAGATAATATCTTTTTCAGAATCATGGGCCCAACGGGGGGCCCAAGCTTTCAGAAAAAGGGTCGGATCGTGGAACTCTACCCATCCGAAAACGTGTACATTTTGGATCTCTGCCAGAAAAAGACTATGGTTTGTGACGCAACTGTTGTATCGTGTGGACAATTGCATTCCCTATGCAATGTGAATGCGATATCACGACACAATATTCTAGAAGTAGTCACATTGCGCAAGCGCATATCACGCATGTTTATTATACATATTCGTTACGTGTGGCGTAGAATTACTTTGGCCTCTCTGAGCATGAGTGGTAAGAAAGCACTTATATTTGTTTCTTTCTTTGAGAATTTAGTATTAGAATATAAAGTGGTTATTACAATATGATTTTTCCATCAGGTAAACATCGAATTTGTTATCTTTCATTTATTGCAGGTTGAGATTTCCATCTTACAAGCAAGCGTCTGTTGATTGTCCTACTGGAAACTGATCACGCTCACAGCTTCATTGCAGCAGTGGTGCTGCGTTTTTGTGTAACCTTTTCGGTTTCATCTGAATATCAGCCATCTACGGTTTTGCCAAATTTTCTTTCCGAACCTTCTACACCTCGTCGTGTTTATGTCTTTTTGCAATTCAAACAGTGAGTATGAGTGATGAGTAATCATGGCCTGGCAACAGAGTTCTACCTTGGAAATCATCCAAAGCCAAAGCCACAGGCAATTACAGTACAGGCCAAGTTATTAAAAAAGGGGAAAAAAGAATGTGATATGCGATCCAGGATTTCTCATATTTATCACAAATTTATTTGGATCAATGAGTACCATATGAATGCCCAAATCTAAGACTTCAAATGGGTGCAACTCCTGAACTAGAAATTTATCGTTGAAAGAATTCCAGCGATATCTTGATCTCAAAAGTCGATGTCAGATCGTAAAACTAAAAGACTAGGCCTACGCTATAGGCCGACCGGAAACTGAAGTAAAGGTCATAAAAACGAGTCCTCAATTTGTTAACAAGTGATTCATCCAAAAAAGCAATCTATATTAGAGTAAAGTACCCGGTTTTCGGCCACTTAAGACAAAATCCTATTTATTGGACTCTTTACTTCCTATTTATTATCATTTCTTGTTCAAATCATGAAGCAAATATTATTATTATTTAAACAAAAAAAGAATCCCAAAAAAAAATCACGAATTGCCATGACAATATTCATTTCAATTTTCACTGTTTTGGAGCCGGTTATCGGCCGAGCGTTTCAGTTTACGGCCGCATGTACAAAGTCAATAGGAAGCGCTCGCGCGCGCCGTGCGTTTCTGCGCTGATGTATAGCACAAGCGGGCGGAGCAGGTATCCCACGCCGGAGCTCCAGGGTGCTCGCCTGGCCGAATACAGGCACAGCGGTGATCGGAAGTTGGAATCTGAATTAGACAGACATATCGTGTGTGCGTCGCGGTGTGCGGCTGCATTGATTTAATACATGCGATGAGATACTTTTGAGCTTGCGACCAGCACAAAATCGGGCTCTATATCTGAAAAATACTTGAAATAAAGCTCATTTTACGGTACCCATATTTCTTACATACACGCGTAAGAAACTCGATTTTTCAGATTTGGGTAGCGGGACCGCCGATTACATCGCTAAAATGTGATATTTTAGGATATATTTTTCATTGCAAATGTGGTTCTTCAGTGACACTGGCATGGTATGGTATGTGTGGGATATGTGTTATGCTATTATGCGATGTATTTTCAAGTGATTTTACCATGTATCCAACCAATTGGCCGAAAACCGGAGCTGACCGATTACCGGGTACTTTACTCTAGTTACTGTTTAAGTAGTAGATCTAGTCTAAGTGATGACATTTCCTTTGTAATTGCATGGTGTAAAATTATGAAAATATTGACAAAAGATGGGCAAATTTTGCGGTCTTGTGGTCGACCCCGCAAAAATATGAACTTACTCAGTCAGACCGCAGCCGGTGCGAAAACCCTCTATTTTATTCAGCACGTATGCAAGAATTTACGTGTCTTGCATACGTAATGAGTAGTGCAGACGGTCTTCCCGATCGGCAGTTTTTGCCTTTATAATTGTTCATTTCTCATGAAATGGGTCTTATTTCAAAGATAAGAAGTTGCACTCTCTATATACTTATATGACAATCATGTTTAATATATTTTGGAAACAGATATTTCGCCTTGAAAATGGGGTTTTTCGACGATAAATCTATCTAAAGAGTAGGGCTGATTTTCACATAGAAATCATTCTTGCGTCAAGAAGATGTTATAATCAGCATAAAGCATAAATATTTTTCTTTACAATGATATCAAAATTATTATATTTTACGCTGTACCAAAGTCAGGAACCAAGAAAAATCACGCGAATGTTCATGAATAATTAAAAAAAGTAGTCAACTTTGCCGATGTGATAATAGAGCGTTCTGATTGGCCAAATACGTCAACTACGTCACATATGTTCCGCTTTGGTTTATTAACATTCTGAATACCAAATTTGAGTAAGCATTCCTTGTGGCGTGCGCCTGTAATGCACGTGCGCGCAAGCAGTCATGACAACAACCTTAGGACCCTGGATCAATTACGTCACCTGCCTTTTAAATAATATTTTTCTACATTATTTCTTTTTTAATCATTTTTCTTAATTTTTTCGGCCAGTCGGTGGCGCGGCGGAGCTCCCTGGAGTTTACTAATCAGTTATGCATTGCCATTGCTCAAACGGCGAGCGTGCACGAGTATGAAATCACACAATTTCGTGCCATCATATAGAAAGAACAAATTGGTAATTTCCGGGTTTTTAGGGTCTTAATTACTATGATTATAAAGAGAACAAGATTTTGCGTCAATTAGGTTTTGACATTATTTTGATCAGTGACTTTTCATCTTTCCAACGAATCTCAAAGTAAACAAATTAATTATGTACCAAAGTCAGGAACCAAAAGCGAAATTTCGGGTACAAAATAGCTGTTGAAATGTTACAAAAATAACGACAATAAAAGTGGTGAAAAAGGATCGTTTCAAAATTGTGAAATATGGCAAGTTTCATATCAAACTGAAGCTGAGAATCTCGAGAGTAATTACCGTTGCGTGCTGCCATGTTGACAGAAGTTATCGACCACAAAAGCAGCTGCATGTACACCCTTACAAATCTCACAGAAAATCTCGTGAATTTCAGCACACGTGAATGTACGAGATAACCAAAGAGACGCTGAATAAAAATCAGCGTATAGCCTCATTATCGCGCACGCTGCGGTCTGACTGTACTGACAAGGGTCTGGGAATTTGAGAGAATATGCTGTCAAAATTGTAAGTATAAGGTGATACCAGCTGATTGTATACTTTGCAATTTATACAATTACCTTACCTTTAAATATTTATTTAAAGGTAAAGTAGTTGAATAAATTGTAAAGTATACATTATGTAATTACCTTACCTTTAAATAGCTATTTAAAGATAAGGTCATTGCATAATTTGCAAAGTATACAATCAGCTAACATCACTTTCTACTTAAAATCTTGACGGCATATTCTCTCAAATTCCCAGACCCTTGTTAGTAAGTTCATATTTAAAGGGGGGGGGGGGGTGGTCAAACACAAAAGACTACAAAATGTGCCCATCTTTTGTCAATGTTTTCATAATTTTACACACAATTCCAAAGAAAATGTCATCACTTACTACTTAGTAATTTTATGTTCCTCTTTCCATTGGTGATATCTGATTTTCAAAATCTTATTGTTTTTTTAGATATGGTCACACTGCCAAACAGTGTCGGTAAACAGTTTTGGAAAACAAGAACACGGAATAATTGCCTTTTTAGATTATTGAGTTTACATGGGAGAATTTAACCAAATGCACTTATTTTATATTTTTTGTCCAACCTTTTAACCCCTTTTTTTCCTTCTTCACAGAACCATTGTTGGTGAGACTCACCTGCGCCCAGTGCCAGAGGCATCCATATAGAATACAAAAGCAACCCCCAGACAGGTTTATGTCTTCACAGGCGCTTAATTTCACACGTCCTTCACATCTGCGCTGTTCCAGGCGGACCAATAAAAACCAAATTCACAAAAAGAGTAGTAGTAGTAGTAGAAGAGAAGGGACGTCACTATGTCTCTCAACGTCAACAGAGCGGTCACTGACCAGTTCTACCGCTACAAGATGCCACGTCTCCTAGCCAAGGTATGTCGACGCTACAGCAATACTAGAATTATAAGGGGGAAATTATTCTCAAGATCAAATACTTCAATTAACTACATTTTGGGGAAAAGGGTATTATCTGTATTATTCATGGCTATGATAGAAGAAATGTAATACATTCTTATTCATTCTACTTCAATCTAATTTGATGCCTTTATTATGTACAAATTCCTTGTACCAGTAGTTAAAAAAAAAAATTATCATGCAAAAGCAAGTACAATTATATTTCCCTAATTTTTCATGTAACCTACTTTATAAGGGAGTTTACAGATGGCACATGGATCAAATGACCCCAAATATCCACAGATCTTTTACACATGGAGAAGTTCCACTTTGAGCATCTTAGAACGATAACTGCCAAAGTCCTAGATGTGCTTCATGAATGTTGGTCCTCTTGAAAAGAATACTTCCACCTGCGTATCATAGAATGTACCGTTGGTGCATAAATGAACAATGTTCCATAACTTTCATGAGCGCATATCCAGTATTCATCTCTGGGTTTTACCATTTTGGTACAAATGACCTTTATCTGCCCATGCGCAGATTGTATCTATGAACTGGCTTTGATATTGAATGAAAACCCTTATCATGAATCACAACATATCTGTTTTTAAATTTATGGAATAGTTTCTCTAGCAATTATTCATTTATATAATTCTATATTTGTTTATTTGTGGTTTGTTTGAAGGTTGAGGGAAGTGGGAATGGCATCAAAACTGTCATCATCAACATGGTGGAGATTGGCAAGTCCTTGTGTAGACCACCTACATGTAAGTCTATCTAGCAGTGTGTAGATGACGTAAGACAGCCCCAGGATGTTCACATCCTCAATCAATTAGATTTTCTTATGACCTTTCAATATCGGGTTGATGGTAGAATATTAATTAGTCTCTGTAAATAAATGTGTATAACAAAAATTGCATCATTAAAATTACATTTAAAAAATTATTCTACATGTTGATATCTAATCAAAGAAACATAAATGCAAGAAAACATGTTTTTAAGGCTTTTTCAAATCATTAGGGGTAGCTTTTGAGTTGTGTGAGTTAAAACAAGAGTTTAGAAATTGATTTGGCTAATTTTTTTGCACACATTTCATTGGCACTGCCAAAAAGTGTACTACTAGGAATGAAATAAATATATACTTTGATCATGTTGGCAAGATTCGCTTAACACTATGGTTGATGTTTGTGCCAAAGGCATAGTTGATACATATTCTTGGTATTGATTGTGGAGACTGAATTCAGTATGTTGGTATACACTATGTCAATATTTATCAGATTACATTTTCTCCACAGCAGCTGTGAATATGATTTCAACCAGTTTGGTACCATATGGTGACACATGGCAATGTATCACACATACACCCTGCCAGCACAAATCTATTTTATGCGCACTATCAGTTACCACAGAATGAAGTACACATAGTTTGAAGTACTGTGAGAAATAATAACTGAATGGAGTTGTGCTGTATTGGAGGGGAAATCTTTAATAAAGATATTACAGTTCCTTTAAATCATACAATCTCCTGTTAATTTTAATCCTGATTTTGACTGCATCCAAATGTAAATTTCTTTCTATTACATCATCAGTCTCAATATTATGTTTAATTAAAACAGTCTATACTGCCATGTTTACTGAAGGCCTTAAAGTAGATATTCATTGATTTTAAAAACTAACTTTATTTTTATTATTGCGAAGTTGAACTTTGATTCGACAAGGTTATCAAAATTCAATGCTTGGAAACATTCAAAGTAATGATTAAAATAAATTACAAAACGCTTAAATACAGTCCCGGCATAGCACCTGAAGAGCTCTCCGAACGCTGCTGAGATGTGTGAGATCACAGTATGGACATGACTTGCACAAGCAGACGATGTCTCATGATATCTCACACATTTCCAGTGCCTGTGTTTTCATCTTTTCTTGAGTTCTTTCTCTTACTTCACTACCGTCAGGCTAAATGTATAATCTATTGCCTCACTCTAAACCCGCACATGGTTTTATTTTGATGACAAATGCAGCGATACAAAAATAAAGGAATTTGTCGCTTGTAAACAAAATAAGGCGCCATTGTATATTCAGCTGCACACTCCGGGTATGTTCGGCGTTTCAAGAGGGAACAAATGCCGTCCTTAATATCATTCAGGGGGGTTTTCAATTTGAAAGTCTGGTTTCTTTGATTGTTAATTAACCCCTATCCTGTGTATTTACAAGCAAAAGAATTTAGTTATCAGAATCGGGTCATATCCCCTTTTGAATGGTTTGACATGCCATTAAATTTATATACACTAAACTCATTATAATTTGAGAAATAATAGCTTTGCAATTATGTTCATTCTCTATGGGATGTCGTCTGCTTTAGCAGTGTTGGTCCATATAGTGACGTCATTAAAACATTGTTATTTTCCGGCGAATCTCTTGTATATCCCAGCTGCTATGGAGGTGGTTGTATTTGTATTTTTATAAATCACCCGATATGTAGTTGACCTAAAACTTGTACGATGGCCATCTGTTAGCTTACCAGTTTCTAGTGATACATTAGATGACATATTTGTGATCTTCTTTGAATTTCACCTTTAATTTTGAAAACAGAAAGGAAAATAGGAAGTCGATGCAAAACATTAATAAGCTGCTCTTTCATTTTAGTCGTGAAATGCATCCCAGCATATATGCCATTCTCCCATTTGAATGTTAATTATGCAATGCAAAATATTCAATTTGTATCTCCCATGTACAGACCCTACAAAGTTTTTTGGCTGTGAGCTTGGCGCTCAAACCCAGTTTGATTTTAAGAATAATCGCTTCATTGTAAATGGCTCGCATGACGCTAACAAGCTTCAGGACCTGCTAGATATCTTCATCAAGAAATATGTGCTGTGCCCCGAGTGTGACAACCCCGAGACCTTTCTGGTAAGAGTCCTAGAACATTTGTTCTGGAGGGTGTTTCACAAAACTTGTCATCAGTGACAAATGACAGTTTTTGTTATAAGCTACTGAAATCCTTGCTTCTGATTGGTTATCAGCAGAGATGTCACTGATTTTTGTCATTTGTCATTGAAAAAAGGCTTTATGAAACACCCCCCAGGTGATGATTTCACTATCTATGATTGCTCTGGGCTATATTTCTTTAAAGATGTAAGGTTAGAGTTGCCATTAGTGAAGGGTTCAATAATTTGCCATGTGCAGAATATTGACAACAGAGCAATTGTCACAAGAGCATGTGTTGTACAACCTCTGGTAAGGTATTCAGAATGGGATATTATACAAATCCCTGCAAGATCCTAATCAAATGATTAGTTGAATGCATTCATGAGTGATTCATTGAGGCTGTCCCATGTTTTTGGTTAACATGTGTGTGAAAGTCTTCAGTACTGTCCATTGACTAAGCATTGTGACTAGTTTCTGATATATATAAAATTTACTTTTATTATATTCCAAATTAATTCTGACTAACATGTTGACTTGTTCATTTTGTTGGGATCTATTATTTCCTCTTAATTATGAGTTGATCTGTTGATGAGTTTGCCCCTGCCTTAATTTCATCAAAGAAATGGGGTGAAGAGTAGGGTTACATTTTGGTTTTTGGTTCGGATCACTGATAGTGTTGTGTCCAGTGATGGAAATTTAAAATTCATTTTGGAGTAAATGTCCCCTGAGTGCTGTGTGTTTGTGTCTGTCCTGGATACGATTACGGCACTTGTTTTACCTCATGTTGGACATCACATTATATCTCTAACAGATTGTGAAGAAAGGCAACATTGGACAGCGTTGCATTGCCTGCGGTCATGTGGGTATCGTGGACCTTCGTCACAAGCTGAGTACCTTCATCATTAAGAATCCTCCAGAGCATGACCCAAGGAGCGTTGGATCTTCCAAGACGGAACGCAAGGGGAAGAAGTCCCAGAACAAACAGCAGAACGGAGAGGGTGATGCCTGTCAGGAGGAGGAAGATTTTGGAGTAAGTATATCATCTCTTGAGAGTCAAAAGCTTGACAATTTGTGTGTAGTCCTATACCAGTACAATTAAACTCGGTATTGTTACATTGATATCGCACAGTGGATTTGAGATACATGTGTCATTTCAGTCTTTTGACAATATATGGATAGTGGTATATTATGATCTCTATATTATATGAAAACTTCTCCACCCTCAACCAGCAATAAAAGATTGACGGGAGCAGCGAGCAATTTAGATCTGGAAACTAAAAAATAGATCTGATAGACTGTAAAATAGCTCTTTTAATATGACAATAAAGTACTAAAATTTCACCCTGAAAACTCTTACTTTTACCACACCAGGAAAAGAAAAGTATTTTTTAAAACTGCCCGAAACTCACTACTAATCTCAGAATTGAAGTCATCCATTATATTCATCACACAGTGCACTCATATATCTAAAATTATTTTCTCTTTTTGTGTTCTAGGATGATGATGATGAGGAGTGGTCAGTTGATACGAGTGAAGAGGCTATTCGTGAGAGAATGGGAGACTTGAGCGGTGGTGCTAAGGGCTTGACCCTCAACGATGATTTAGAGAAGACAGGACAGGAGAGGCTGGACATCTTCTATAAATTTGTCAAGGTAAGGACATCAAATGTAGGGTCCAAATTCCAATGGTGGTAGTAAAGTTATCATACCAGTCTTATTTCATACAGAAATGCCAAGTAACTTATGCTCTATATCAAGAAACGAACAAGTTTGAGAAAATGTACCGACTTTTCCATTATAATTTTACTTCAAAAAAATAACCTAGAAAAACCACAAAGAAGGTAATTGCCTAGTCATGTCCGATTATACATTCTGACTAGAGTACAGCTCATTAATACTTGTATGTTAGTGTGTACAGACCATCACTCGGTAGTAATCAAAGGTAGCAAAAGTAATTTTGATGTTAGATCATATCATGTCATTCATGTGGTATGCGCCCAAAGATAAACATTATCAGCAGATTTGAGTGTGTGTGTGTGCCTGCATGCTAATTATTTTCTTTCAACCAATTACATATGCTATGATTGATTTGATTCTACTTATGATATCAGGCCAAGAAAGCAGGAGGTGATTTGAAGGGATGCGACAAAGAGTTTCTGGTAGAAGCTGAGCGTCTTGATGTGAAGGACAAAGGGCCTCTTATTCTGGCCGAGCTTCTTCTTGATGAACAGGTGTTGACGCAGCTCAAGCAGCACCAGTATCATTTCTTGAGGGTAGGTAGTACGTACTATCATTAATACACTAATATTTGTACTAACTATCTCAATGCCTGCCAAAAGCAGTTAAACTTACTCGGTATACTACTCATGGCTTCTAGAGCGGTGCTGGATTTTTATTGAAAAGAAACAGTTAAGGCAGGCAGACTTTTATGTGATAATAGTATTGTGTATTTGACTTGCTGATCCTCATTGCATTTTTATTAAAAAAAAGTACATTGAATGCAGCACTTATTTTATTTTTTCTTCTGTTTAATCACATTTTCTTTGTGGATGAGGCTCTTGGTTTAATGTTCCCTTGACTGTGTTAAAATGTTTCAACAGGTTGTGAGTTCTAATCCTAATTTCTTATTCATGTATTGTTTATTTATTTTTATTTTATTATTATTGGACAATTATGTACATTTGTATGTTTATTGTGCAGGGTCATAAAGGACAACAGTGTAAAAACACTGACTAACCACCTTGGGTTTTAAAAAAAAGACAAATAAAATGAATTTGTTTCTTTTATTTCAGCTTTTGAATGACAACCCTAAGGGTCAGAAGTATTTCCTAAATGGTCTTGAACAGCTGATAGCACTGCATGCCAAGTCTCTGGTCCCTAAGGTACCATCGATACTCAAGGCCGTCTATGACCTTGACCTCATCGATGAAGATGTCATCCTCACATGGGCTGCTAAGGTAAGCCGCTACTACCTTTTTATATCTTGTATATGCCATTTTTTTTTTGCAAGGATTAAACAGTTCTAAATGGTTTATAATTGCAAATTTAAATACACACATAAAAAGCTGGCTTTGTATGTAGGAACATTAAAACAGTAGTCTGCGATATTATCGCAAAAAAAACAATTTGGTAGAATGTCTGTGTCTTGTCTTTCTCCAGGAAAAAATATAAACATATCAGTGAATACTTGCTTACACAGTACTTTGCCACAAGGAACATTACTTATTTCTTCATGTTCACTGCAGTGAATGGAGTACTTCATACTCCATGTTGCTTGAAAGTATTGCATGTTTTTTGATAAAGAACATAGAAATGTGTAACCATCTGAAGATTCTGAATCACATGTGACTTTGTTCTATTCTACCAATCATTGTGTAAAGTAATTGACTATATAAATATCTTGATGCATTCTGATGTAATGTTATTGTTGTCTTGTAGCCGTCCAAGAAGTACGTGTCGAAAGAGGTGATGCAACAGATCCATGAGAAAGCAGCTCCATTCATCAAATGGCTCAAAGAAGCAGAAGAAGAGGAGTCCAGTGAAGATGAAGTCGTGGTTAGTATCTTATCCTCTTATCCCAGTTCGTGGAAGCCTCTTTCACACATAAGGCTGGAAAATGCTACAAAAAACTGGTGCAGCAACATATTTATTATAAAAAAGGTTTATCAAATATACAACTCATGAAAATACAAGTGAGGATGTGTACTAACTGATCTTTTATTATATATATTACAACGAATTCAAGCACATTATTGTAACAGCAGGCACATATGACACACGACGAAGTCATTTAGAGTTGTATGCGGTATTTATTTTGAGGATGGATCAACCCTTAATGAGACAAAAAGAAACAGGCAAATAGATTAGCTTTTGTTTCTTTCACATATTAAACATCAGCAAAACTATATGATCATTCATAGAAATCGATACATCAATAACAACTATTATGATCATTCATAGGAATAGATACATCAATAATAACTATTGCCCTACTTGGCATTTTCCCCACACCATAGAAATACTATACATTTTGGATACTTTTCCATATATGGTTTATAGTTACATTGTAACATCCAAAAGCAATAAGCAAGTTATAACAATCAAATGCTCAAATATGCATAAGTAATCATGAATACAGAAATATAAATTGACTTTTTGTATAGTTCTCTTTACTATAACAATGACTCACCCCTCTTGAGCTCTCGAGGAGAGACTCCTAACGAGGCACCGAGACTAGAATTAGACCAACTACATGTAGATAGTGCACCATCTCCAACTAACTGCCATCTCCAACCAAATGATGAAGTAAGACCTCTGTAACATAAATGGTAACTTAAATGATAACTTCTATAACTTTCAAATTCTTAGAAAGTGACATGCAACTTGCAAGCTTTTGATATATAACAAATATTTTACTTTGACAACAAAATATCCAATACTAATGATACAAATTATCTCTTTACCTAATTATTACTGTATATCAGGTCTTCTTTTGCAAACACAATACTTTATAGAGAGAAGCACAGATTGTATCATATTTGGTTTTCTAAACCAACTCATTATGACCAAAGCAATTAATGACAGGCCTCCAAATATTGACATAATTCCACTTGGGTACTACACAGAGTGTTTCTCTATAGATTCTTCTACTAGTATCACATAATAACAGCAAAGGAATGTGAAATACAACTCACAACTCAATAAGACACTCAAGAGTTGTCAACTATACATGAAATCAAGTTTCCTCTATAAGGTTTCAATCTAATGATGCATGTCAAATACATTATAATTCCACTTAGAACTTACCATAGATGCTGCAGAAATACTATTAAGTATGAAGTTCTACTCAGAGTTAGCTTCTCTGTCAAATCCAACCTCCTAAGTCCTGAGTGGATGCATGGTCTATGCTCATCCCTCTCAACCTGTGATGTGGCAAAATATCCTTTCTCTCATTACCCTATACTCTCTCTGACCCAAGGTCAAAGTGCACTTCCCCTATGATGTGGCAAAAAATCTATTCTTCTCTCCAAATCACCCCATACCCTCTCTGACCTAAGGTCAAAGTGAACTTCCCCTTTTAGGGACACCATTCTTCTCTCCAAATCACCCCATACCCTCTCCTAGGGACCACCTCAGAAGTACACTTAAAGGGATCTCCTTATTCAGAGACATGGATCCTTCATTCAGGGACCTCCTCAACAAATGGAATTAAGAAACATTTCGACCTGTCACATTATGTCATTTTATTTTGCCATGACCTTAATTAAGCAGTTTACAGCATCATGTGTAACTGAGGCTTTACAAGAAACCATGTTAAGTTCAAGTTACACAAACATCTTATTCAGACAGATTTTATCATGCATTTCAATGTCTGTTATCCTATACCTATCAATATGTCTTGAGTTCGTCTGGGGAAGAGAAATAAAAAAAAATAATGCTAATTTGTATAGACATTTATGGGAAGTTGATGCATCGTGGAGGGAACCGAGGCTTATACCTTAAACACATATGCTTCGGCTACAATGTGTTTTCAAAGGTGTCATTCTTCATTTGTAATTTGATGTCGGTCAAAATACAGAGAAAATTGAATTACAGAGTGACCTATTCAAAACATTTTTTTAAATAGAAATTCTCATTGTTTAGTTTTAACTCCAAAGTTCATGGAGTATGATCTTTCAAATGGGGGTATAACTCTCATCAGTTATTAATAATCATATCAGACATTCTCTATCCTATGCAAAGATAGTAACTATGAAACAATGTATTTTAGTTATTATACATATATATACCGGTAGGGATTTATCTTTAGTCTTTTTCTTCGCTTTGTTAACACTTTTGTTTGAATGACATTTTCTGTGTGTACAGGTTGCTTTCAGTAACCGAGGAGGGGCCGGTCTGAAGGTGGAAACTACTGAACCCAAAAAGGCTTCTGCTGCTCAACCAGCTACCCCTGCTGCAAAGGAAGACGACTTTGACATCGATGACATCTAAATACTGATCTTTGTATAGACATCCACTTAACATATTGTCTTCTCACAAGTTGAGATGTCTTGTATCTTTCAGGCTTTCCCTGAAACAAAATGACAAATTGTGCTATTGTATACATGTTTTCTGAAAGTATTATATGGTGGAATTCTATTTTAGATGTAAGTTGCACAATGAAATTAGTATAATATTCAAACAAAAAATGAAAAACAGATGTATTTACTATTTCATGCTAAAACATTTATCACCCCTTCATGTTAAATGTAGAATTCAATGTTGTCATTAAATGCTTCATTGGTAGATATATAAGGTAATGGTTGGATGTTTTATAAATGTTTCAATACATCTTCGCTACCATTAAAACAACAAAATAAGGAAATAAAAGATGAATGTTATGTTATTTTGAAAGCAGAAATTTACCCTGTGATCGCCTTGTTACTCGTTAATGGTCCATATTGAGGCTATTATAATGTAATTGTTTCAATTCTTCCTTTCAGAAAGCTGCAAAGTAACTTTAAGGAAATGTTGTAATAATCTCTTCTGCACTGAATATTGAATTATTGATACTAACAAATGCTGTGAAATGTAAAGTTATGTCAGTCCAAAATAAGCAGCAGAGTGAAATAGTTTGACATCTGTGAAAATTCCAATGATGTATCACTTCATTCAGTGTTATATGTAGGAAATGTAGGTACTAGTACTCCTATATTCATTGATATATTCCATTTTCAAATGCTTCAACTGAAATTATTTACAAGGCTACATATATATGAGCTTATATGTGATGCTTATTGGAAAGGTTATAGCTTTTCTTATACAAAATTGCAGATATTTGAAGTAAGCACCAGAAAAAGTTGGTACATGTAATGATCATGTGCTATGTACTCCCATGATATAAAGATATCAGTAAAGGACCGAAATGTGTTATATGAAGAACACTGTGTTGCTTTTACTCAAAGATGATAAGTCAAGAAATGTTTGTAAACTACATGTTGGGGATGCTTTCCAAGTTTTTGAGCATGGGAGAGAGTTATTCCGAAGTTGTTCTATTTTGTGCAAAACTTGTATTACTGTGATATACAAGCTAAGAATGTTTTGTTCATGAGTATTGTTATTGCATGCTACTCGTGTATTAAACCGCAGATGATTTGTGTCATATTATCCTTGTTAGTCATGTCTCATATTTTTAAAATTTCCTATGCTTTAAATAGGTTCACTTCAAATCATTGAGGTTTTGTTAGTCTATATTCTGCTACACATCCAGTCCAGGGGCCATATTCTAAAAACGATGTTATCTTTTATGTTAGGGAAAACAATTTTAATTGTAAGTATTATGTAGTTTGAGTCACCAGTGCCTGGGAGGCCAAAAGCAAACTGAATCACTTGCCTCCTGGTGTAACTGATTGGGGTGTGCAGGTTGACCACTACACCAGGGTTTCATAACAAACTCAAAATATATCAAAGTAACACTTAATGTACAAAGTTTGATATTTGTGATAGTAAGCATTGTTTTACCAACATAAGATATAACATCGTTTTCAGAATACCACCACAGACCCAGGTCAGATCAACAACTGTGACATATAGACCACAACCTCTCGGTCTAATTTTGGTGTCGAACTCTGATCTTGATACAAATCTGGGGTTATATAGCCCTTAGTATAGAATATGTCTCCAAGTGCTTTACAGATCTTATTACCCCAGTTATTGGATTCATTTACACACAATGTGCACTATCTCCACTACCTTGGGAGTATTCCTACAATAATAGCCACTATTGGGGCATATGGCAATTTCTATTACTAAAGCTTTCATCATGGTATCGGGTGCCCATTTCTCTCCTGGGTATACGGAGTGGCAAATGTAGATGTCTTGCTTACGGCCACTCACTATGAATATGACGTACAAAGAAAGCAGACAAAATATACAGTTCCTCAGGTAGACAAAGGAACATTCCTTCACTGCTATTATGTAAAAAGGTGAATATGCATGTGACACCTGTTCTACACATTTTTACATAATAGCAGTGAAGGGATGTTCCTTTGTCTACCTGAGGAACTGTATATTTTGTCTGCTTTCTTTGTCAGTCATATTCATAGTGACTAGTGCCATGACCATTTCCAGTCAAGTGCTTAATCCACTTGACTATGACACCTATTTGAAATTGAGTAGAATAAGGATTTTAGTTCTTTAATCTTCTATTAGCAATGTGTAAACTACTATACGGTAGGCCTTTTCATAGAAAGAACCTACATTTTCTCTTTTTTACTTTGAGTCATGAAATGGCCTCTTTATATTTGATAGAAAATGAGGGGAGAAAAGAGTTCAACTCTATTAAAAAAAAAAAAAAATAAGAGAAAATGAATGGAAATGGTAATAAAGAGAGAGAGAAAGACACAGCAAGAGAGATAAAGGAAGGGAGAAAATATTGTGAGAGAATAAAAAAAAGAAAGAAAGAAAAGATGGTGAACACCACTGGCTGAGGGGCAAACCCCGGTCGAAAACGCACAGAATTTCATCACATCAATTAAAAAAAAGAAGAAGCTTTTTGCCTTTATTCAGATTTTCATGTACAAATGATAAAGAGGAACATAATTGTTCTGACAGTATAAAGGGTACTTTATTACCTATACATTGAATTTTAGCTGCAAAATAAAAAGCCAAATTCTGCACGCTACTCCCAATACGAAACCGGAGCAGGCAACATTTGCCAGATTGCCCTCTTCCGGTTTTTCCCTGTAGACCACTGTACCGAATTAAAGGGCAACATTCAGACATATTCCACTCTTTCTTGTCAGTGCGCTTTTATTAAAGTGCATACGCGCAGTATTGTGTAGGCGTTAAAGTGGACGCGCGGTAACAATTTACGTCACAATTACATACCTGCCTGAATAACCTGTAATCAGAGGGACCAGCAAACAGACGCAAGTAAAAATCATGCTTTATACCAAAGTTGTATATCATTTGTAAAAAAATGTATAGGTAATAATAATTATATTGACAGGGCTTCTTCCGGGGTACATACAAAATATTGACTTCGCTAAGATCATATTACCCTGGTCTTCAACACAGGGCAATATCATCTTAGCTTGGTCAATATTTTGGATGTACGTACCCTCAATATATAATATAATTGTCTCATATATTATAAACACAGACATTTTTAAAATTTATTATTCCGTAAGTATCCAAACTAATATAGTACATATTCAATAAGGTATACAAATTGTAATATAATTCTGCAATTTGGGAGAAGAGAAAAAGATTTTTCAATATAAAAAAGGAAAAGGTAACAATAATACTTCATATTCATATTTTCGGATACAACATTATAAAAAGGAACAATTTTTTCAGTACAAACATATCTTCTAAGCAAATTAATTAGTTCAATATAAATTAAGCAATCGGAATAAAGATTTTCTTATATAAACAGAAAGTATAAGGTTAAGGTATTGCTTCATAACCTATTATAAACCAATTTGTTATATTTACATAGAATGACATAGTGCTTTTTTTTAACTCCTAGATTTTATTATCATTATATGAAGGTCTTGTATCAGTGGATTTTTTTTTTTTAAAGCTTTTATGTCTTTATTCAGATTTCTATAATTATACAAAATGATGAATAGGAACACAATTGTTCTTACAGTATGAACATACATGTAGTACATTGTCTCATACATTATAAACACAGACATATTTTTAAAATATTTTCCATAAGTATCCAAACTAATATAATACACATTCAATCAAGTGTACAGAATGTGCTACAATTCCTTTAAAAAAGGAAAAGGTGACAGTAATACTTCATATTAATATTTTTGGATACAACATTATAAAAAGGAACAATTTTTACAACACATCTTCTATGCAAATTAATTAGTTCAATATAAATTAAGCAATCTGAACAAAGATTTTCTTATATAAACAAAAAGTATAAGGTGAAGGTGCTGCTTCATAACCCATGATAACAAAATTTGTTATGTTTACATATAATGATATAGTGCATTTTTCATTATAACTATATGAGGGTCTTGTATCAGTGGAGGTCTGTAACTATACTGTTATTAAAAAAATATATATATAAAATATAAAAAAACAAGCAAACACGATAGTAGATAAGTGTCCGGATCGATGAGAAAGTGAGGGAGTGAACAGGAATTACAATATATATACAATCAGTTCCCTTGCCTTATGGGGTAAAATTTTCCCATTTTTGATAATGCATTGGCAGTTTGTCCTTTAATTTTGCTTTTTCATGTTCAACTTTTTTTGATTTCTCTACAGCCTTACATATATCTTTACTAGCTGGGAAATTTCCTTTTTTTTTTCGATTACTGTAAATCATATATTTGACCAAAATCAATACATGATTTAACAAAATATCATCTTTCATATTTTTTCTGAAACCAAGCAACACATCAATCCATTGCTTATTAAGAAACTGAAACATCTTTAAACTGTTTCCCATCTCATTCCATATTCTGGACCCTTCAGAACATTCAAAGAAGATATGACGATAGGTTTCTACTTCTTTTCTACTAAAGGAACATAAATTTGACTGTGTTAATCCAAAAAGATACAATTTATCATTACAAAATATGATGTTATGTAAAAGTTTATACTGAAATTACCCTAACTTCTCATCTAGAGTGGAAAATCAGGGGATTGAGAAACATGTTGTAGTTTCTGACTTATCCTCTGGATGTTTAAAAGAAATGCCATCAAAAAATGTTTAACAGCAACCTCTCTTGACGAGATTTGGGCAATGCACACACCCATTCATAATGTAATTCATGTACGTAAAACTGTACCGGCTAATAATATACACGACATACGTAGGCAATATTGAGAATCGAAGACAGATGTCGATCTTGTAATGACCAAAACATGTAAAATATCTTCTTTATCACGATGCCTGATGAATCAATAAAAGACAACGGTCGAGAGAGTAAGTATGATGGAGGATATTATTTTGTATGATTGTATAATAAGAAGTCATGGTTTCAACTAAGTAAGAAGGATCGATGGATTTTTTTGTGTAAACGCCTCCGCTCAAGACATGCACATCGCCAGTGCAAAAATGTAATGCAATGTCAATGGCAATGGGCACCGAAATCATGACATGATTGGTTCGATTTAGTGCTGTAACATCACGGATATCTCCAATTCCGTTTAACCGCCAGTCAAAACCGGACGGTTTTCGGTTAAACGATTAAAAAAAAAAAAAAAAAAAAAAAAAAAAAAAAAAAAAAAAAAATCGTTTTTTTTTTTTACCGACTCTGTCAGCAACTTTCATTTAACTGCGAGGTGCATTTAAAGGGGCCGATTTGTGCTTGTGAACTTGTCACAAATAATAGTAACAATGTTATTTTTAGAAGAATGTGTAAGATCATTAATGTAAATTAAAAACAGTAGAGGACCTAGGACAGAACCTTGTGTAAAAGTTGGATGAATTATTATTATAAACTACATATTGAGATGAGATCTATTACATAGATTACTTTCAAACCAAGATGACAGACAAATTGGAGTGTTGTTCTAGTTTTGGAGTGGTGAGTCAACACACAAATTACTGAGCTGGGAGACATTGCCAGGCATAGTGCCAGGTGGAGGGGCATAAATCGAAACTTTAAAAAAAAAAAAAAAAAAAAAAAAAAAATTATTAAAAAAAAAAAAAAAAAAAAAAAAAAATATTTAAAAAAAAAAAAAAATCGGGAAAACGAAACCGTCCAATTGAAAACGGAATCCGCCATGGGCGGTCGGATACCGGACGGTTAAACGTTTGACTACAGCACTAGTTCGATTCAACAAACCAATTTTTCATTATAGAATATGAGTTAAGAAGTATAAACTAAATAGATCTAGAGATCTCTCTGTTGGACCTAAAATTCATCCTACTTACTAATACTAGCTGATTCAGTGATTGTGTTGGTGACATGTTGATTGAGTGTGTTTCTGACTTTCTGTGACTGATCTGAGTCGTGCACGAAGAATAAACGGCGCAGAAATGCGCGAGTATGCGAGCCCCTGACTGGCTGATCTTCCTGCTCCGCTAGCTGCAGCGGGGACAATTTACTACACCGGGAGCGCGGTGTATTACAAATACACTGAACCAGGCAGACATCCATTGTGTAGCGGTTGTGTTGAGCGAGCGCGAGCGGGGCCTCACCAAAAATGGCGACTAAATACCCACTCGGTAAACATTGGGCACATAGCCTTGCGCATTTGTGTTAACAATGGAGATGCCTTTAAAAGCTCAAAGCTAGGTAATGGTTACGCCCATAGAGATGTGAGTTGTGAATATTTTGTTCTTGTTGACAAAACACGGTGTGAAAATTTGTTTGGCAACTGATGGCAGAAGAAAGTATTGGGATGTGTTCTAAATTATTGACTTTTAGTGCTGCCATTTCATATTCTACCATAAATTTAACTTTCACTTATCTATAAGTATTATGAAACATGGTAATGATATAAGGTTTTCTAGAACATGACAAAATGGATAAACCACCAAATGGCAAATTCCCAAGATTTTCAGAGAGTGTAAAAGTATGATGGGAAGTAATAGTTAAATTACTTCGCCTGAATTCATTAATGATTATTGTAAAAAATTGATTTGAATTGCAATACTTTATTTTGGAATAATGACGATATTGCCTGGTGTAATTTGGCTGAGACAGAAAATATTGAACTCGATATGCAAACAATATTGGACAACTTATGGCATATTTTGTGCAGTATTTCCTTGTATTGACCTCAAAGCCGTCCAGTATACATGTAATTATGATGAGATAAATCCGCTCTGTTGAAAGGAGGCTTAGTCTCTTTTGAATAAACTCAAATAGAATATGATCAGTAGATGTAGATCTGTTGACTTATTTCCTAGCAATACCTGAAGAAATTACTAAAACTTTTCAATAGTGCCACTAAGCTATACACCAGCAAATATGTGCAATGCAGTTTATACAATGCTCCAAATTTTAACTGATAGAGGGCACTGAATACCAGTAAGATCACAGTGTCGGTGATATGAAATGCTGAAAATAATTACAAGTTTTAATTAATCACTGTCTAATTATCAATCATAACAAATTTGTATTATTCATATCGGTCAAATACAGCATCAAAGTCAAGTATTAAACTATACTGTAGTGAGCACTTTGCTTTTAATAAATTTCATTGAACTAAAACTTGCACAGCCTTGCAATATTTTTTCATATCATAATTTCCTCAACCATTTGACATCATAATACACATACATGTACGTTTGATTGAATCATGAATATTACCATAAAAAAATCCTCAAAGCTTGTGTACCGTTACTTAGTTTTTTTGGTCCCTGATTATTAGTAATTACTAAACAAATTTACTAACCAACATTTTTTTATTTACAGTCTGAGGATAATCTAATATTTTTCATTATATTTAATGTAAACCGTTGGTAATTTTGGTAATGCTGGAAAATACATGTAGCTTACAACAAAACTTACACTGAATGTGGAAAACTGAAACTAACTATTAAACAATCTTGATAGAAATTGCTAAAATGATATCAAGTGTGCATAACACACAGTCTCATATGTGCAAATTTGAGTTGTACTTCTCAGTAAATGCAATTTCAAGATGAATTTCGGCAGATGTTTTGTTTGTAGTTTTCTGGTCAAAATATAACATATCTTGGCCTCTACTTCATGATTAACCATTTAGAATTTAGAAGTTAGTTTCTCTCAAAATGCAATACCATGATCCAGAGAACTCAAGATTAGCTTGAGGGAAGCATTAAAGTGTATCATTCAATTATGAAATTATTATTAAATTGGATTTTGCTCGTTCCTGCAGCAATTTGGCAGTATGACCACTGCAGCCTTGTTATGAAAAAACTGTTGAAGTGTTTCGGACGATTACCAACCAAGTACCAAGTACTAATCGATCAATCAATCTAAATAGAAACATCTTTATGTAAGTGTTGGAACGTACATGTACAGTACATGTACAGTACATGTAGATAGGATTGTCCATTCATAGACATGGACTGTATAAACCCAAGCATCATTTTTCAGTGACAAATAGGTGAGATGATCAAGAAATAGAAATTCATATATATTGGAGTTTGAAATGTACCTTACTCTCTTTTCTTACCAGTAGAATTCTTTTATCGCTTTTGATAAAATCCAAATCAAATGTATTTATTACATTATAATAACATAGAACAAAGATTGTATTCAATGAATCAGAAAATTAGTTGAATTAGAGCTGATCATTCTATAGAGAGGATTTTAATGATAAATGAATCCAATATTTTCATAGTTCATACAATGTATAACTATAGTCCATGTACATGAAGACTAAGTTTTATAACTTAATTCTTTTTTAAAAATATCACATAATAAAGCGTGGAGCAAATGTCTCAGGCTTAAATGTCGGTCAGTAGGATATTGCCATTAACAAATTTTGTCTGCAATCAGTTACAAATCAGTTGCATGTATAACACCCTTTAAAAAATATTCAGTATAACTATAACACTCGTATGAGTAGATGTATTTATAGAAGTACAAGCATATACCCAATGGGATAGGAGTAAGATGTGTTAACAATAGCATTGTGGGAGTATGCCATTTGTTCATTGAACCAAGGGCAGTTAAAACGTTCACAGTTTACACAATACTGTATAGAAAAGGAATGCAGTTGGAGGTCACAGCATAGAATGTTCAGTGATTATATAGAGTATGGTCTTGAGTGTGAACTTGATGGGAATATCTAGTAGATTTAAGTTTGGTGGAAACTGGAAAGAGTTCTGACCTGGATTTGACTTCATGTTATAATTTATGCTTGAATGGACTCATTTTTGTTAATTTTTTGTATTTGACTATCTATAGTGTGAGATACAATTACCTGCAAGTTAACACATTGCAGGGTCAACATTGGCTTAGATTATAAATGGAAAGTTCTTTTTTTTTTCTTCAATCTTATTTTCCTCATTTTGTTTTTTATTTTCTCTACTATTATTGATACTTGTTACCTAGGAGTCAATCAGATATTCCTGAATTTTGTTCAGTTTTCTGATCATTGATCATAAAATTAGGAATCAGAATTAATTACTGAATCATATTCACCCTTTTGTACGTTATTGGGCAAGTCTGACATATTTTGGCTCCATTTGTTACCGATTGATTGGATCATACTTAAAATAAAGAAGTATTGTTTATTCAGTGTTCGTTAGGTGCATGGCTCTATTATACATGGCAACATACAAACTGGCGAAGACCTACAGTAAGACTTACTCCTAACAAGAAGAAAAAGATTGAGTGAGAGATATATTTGAAGATAAGATCAATTGAAATGCTTTGCAGGAGGAGAATTGAAAAATGAAAGGAGATGAGGGGACAAAGGTTTGAGAAATAAGAAGGAACATGAATGGATTACTGGTAATGAAAGAGAAAGTGCTGGAATTTCTCTAGAGAGATCCTATTCATTATGTGCACTCTTGAACTGACTGAAAGCTGTATTGTGTTTTCTAGGGCTAAGTAGTAGAAAGCTCGAATTTAATTTAGAAAGCAGCCTCAAGGCATGGCTGATATTTGAGTCATGTCGCCTCAGAATGCATCGCTGTCTTGCTTTCAGGGGGCTGAATTCAATTCCATTAATGTGTGCAAAGAAAGAAAAGGGATGAAGGTGGAGATTGTTTTCGCAATTTTTTTTTTTTTTTAAAGCCTATGTTTTAGACATATAAATCTGTATAATGAAAGAACTATCTTGTGGATAAGACAAAACATAATGAAATGCAGCTACAAGCAGACGGGCTGATGCAGAGAAGTACATTTTATAAAATGACTGTTTGTAATCTTTTACATTTTTAGCACTACAATGTTGATGGAAAGTACTATGCAAGATGATTGTAGTTGGAAAATGTTTTGAATAGGACTGCTTTTAGAAGAATGAAATGTATTATTCATAGGTCTAGACTGTACTATTAAAAACAAAACAAAATTCATTCGACTCATACATTACACATATTATATAGAAGCATGCCTGCTTTGAAGAGGTTTTGAATGCATGTAATAAAATCATTCATGCAATTGAAGGTTGAATTGTCATGGATTTTGTTAGCAGTGCCCTTTTCTGGACATCTTTAAGGCAAGCATTACATCAGTTATCCTTTGCTTTATGCATGTACACTGTACATATACAAATGTACATGATCCTATTTAGTGCATCACTTATATTCTCTAGATGGCAAATGATTTCCTATGTTGTAGAAATGATTGATGAGAAAATCTTGGGTTTTGTAGCTGTGTACATGTAATACCAAATTGAAAGTAGGCTTGAAAGTAAAAAAAATGCTGTTTTACTCTTTGGAAAGGGGAAAAAACAGAAATTATGGGAAGGGAATGAATTTAGCAAAGATACTGCAAGAGTAATAAGGGGGCTCTGGAAGGCAAGAACAAATGTAAGTACATGTACATGTATATTACACAAACATGCATGTATGTATTACAGAAAAGAGAGGGGCTAGGAAGGGGAAAATGTAACGAAAGAAAAGAAAGTGAAAGGGGGGGGGGGAGGAATAAAGAAAGCCTAAAGATAGGACAAGGGAGATACATTCATTGTTTGAAAAGTTCAGGATGACAAAAAGCACAGAATAATTTTCACTAGATTGGTGAATTTATATGACATGTAATACACTAAAGAATTCTATAAATATAAATTTGAAGAAAATTGATGAGCCCATTTAGACCAGCTTGATGCAATGAGAAAACACATTCTCAGCAAATACATACTTTAACCAATATAGTATATCACCCTAAAGAGCGACATATTTAGACAAGTTTACAAATTACAAGAAATTTGAGAAAGAGCGACTACTAATGTTGTGCCTTTAGGCTTTAGGAAGACAGGGATGGAGTTTCAGATTTCTGAGTTTGTTTTGAATGCATGTATACCTAGTTTATCATGAAAACTGCATGTGGATGCCTTGTAGTACATGTAGTAATACATGTAGTTACAATAAATTTGGGGGGGGGGGGGCTTGAAGATTGCAGAGAGACAGGGATTATGTGTGAAATTGATGCCTGTACTGATTTTATAAAACTTTCTTTTACTGTGTTGTATTGATCTGGAAAGGGATGTGGGGAGATTTCTACGGGTATCATACATGTCAAAACTGTGATAAATCCTGGTTAAGCCGAAGCATAAGCAGTACCGGAGAGATCTTTACATATTCATGAAGGGATGGAGGAGAGTTGGATGCCTTTCCTCTCCTCCTATCTCTCATCTCACTCCCGGCCGGAGCAGAACAGAGGCAGGTCATTGGAAATTCAGAATTGGCAAAGAGGCACTCTGATTCAGCATGCGAAACGCAGAGGTTGATTTCATGACGACAGGATTGTCACACACACACACACACTCACACTCCAGCCACACACGCAAACACACGCAACACCACTGCCTCTACAATGCAGCTAAGAATCATATCCCCACACATACATCTAATTCATGCACACACAATTAATGCACACTCAGTGCGAGAGCGAGATAGCGAGCGGGCGCCGTTCCAAGCAGAGTCATCGTATGAGCTGTAGGAGATGATGGTGGGTGGGAAGGCATCACTTATTCTCATCACCATAGTGTAGAAGTTGAGATATTTAGCATCCCTCAGCTTATGGATGAACATGGATATGTTGCTACTGTTCTAATTCAAGCTACATGATGTGACATCTACATGCATTTCATAGGATTGTTTCTGCTTGTTCACTCGACTTATATCATTCCGATATTTCATGATGTAAACAAGATTAAACCAAGTGATACCAAAGTATAAGATGCCATTAATTATTTGGAAATAAATTGGACTTACAGGAGTAAATGGTGAGTAAAGCATCTTAAAAAAACATGAATAATGTGCACAGATTGTAAGTTTGTTGTAAAATTTTCTTTCGCAGGCATATGTTCATGTAAAATGCAAGCATATTTTAAAGATGAAATCTATTTAACATGCAACCTGTAGCTTCTGTAGTACCAGATTTCTAGGATGGCAGTCTCAATCGATCTAACAACACTGATGTAAATTGACTTCTTGACCTGCTTGTGCCCCCAAACAATTTGTAAGATGTTCAAAAGTTGTTATTATTTCTGTGATGTTTGTCAAAATTTGCTATTAAATGACACATGAGACAGAACGCATATGAAATACATAAGTGTGTAGCACAAAGTGACAAAAGATGATGTTACCATGCCAATATCTTTAACAATAAAGATATTGTAAATAGACAACTGTAAACGTAAACGTGTGTGAATAAGGATGTCTTTTTAAAGGGAACATTAAATGTACTGTACATCCGTATTTCTTAGATTTCCAAAAGTACATTTTATGAGTCACGATGCTCTTACAAAGTTGAGTATGAATAATGTGCAATAAGGTAATTGTAATAAATGTCAATTTTTTCATTCATTTGCCCATTGAGATGTCCAATAATCAGAATTGTAAATTGATCCCACTCTGATGAATAGTAATGACTTGTAGCGTGACGCAAAGTTCATCTTTAACCCTTCCACTCCTGTGTACGATGATCACCCCTTGGTGCATGTATTCCGACTAATGTGTCATAGTACTGAAGGAGGTTACTAGAGCCGTTGAGGAAATGCTTGAGGAATTGATTGATAGAATGAATAATGCAAGAACTTAGATTCTTGTTAGTAGGAGCTGTGGATCCATATTCATTAGTTTGCTCCTCTAGTCCTTGGTAGAAGGAGGTTGTTTGGCATTGTATCAGGTATCCCCATCTCCATTGCTCACATTGGAATCGGTTTCAAATGAAGAGGTCTTGTTTGGGGTGAAAGATTTGTGTCATACTTCACAGTTTGTTAACGCTGACAAGTTTTGTTGTTTGGGTATTGTCTGTACATTCACCAAGGTTGAGATTTAAGTGCTCCTTAAAACGTTCAAGTTCAATCCTTAAGTTATAGAATGTGGCTTTGTGAATAAAAAGATGTGGTACTTTTCCCTTTGTAACAATTATTATTCACTTTTGTACATCTTGATATTTTTCATGTATCTGTAATTTGTTTCTTTAAAAAAATGTAAAACTAAATTTCTCATGGAAGAATACTTTTTCATTTGTTTTGTTCTCCATGCATAATGTATACTGTTACTTCTTCTGTACTGAGAATGCAAATCCTTAACCTGGAAGCTCTACCTGGGAAATGTAAGGATTTACATCTTAATTAGCATTCTGGTAATGGAGCATTATCAACCATGTCTTATGTTACAGCTTTTGATACATGTCTGGGAGGCTGTCCTGGGAGTTCTGATTTTGAGAAAGATCGAGAGCAGGGAATAGCAAACCTTTCAAGATTATGTCTCCAGGTTCACAACGATTTCAATTGTTATGTTGATGTAGTGTTTTGTTCGTTTCTGTGAAATGTTATCTATATCGTCGCCTGGCTGGCAGAAGGGCGTTAGCTTGAATTTCAGGTAATAAATGAAGCGTTAAGTACATTTAGAAGGGCGTTGTGGCCGTGTTCTATGATAACATTTCTATTGGTCTTTTAAGTTTTTAAAACAATTTTCGGGACAGAAAGCAGTTTAAATATAAAACAAATCATTAAATGTAAATAATTTGAAAGTAGTTTTCGAGTCACTCGCGCGCTAACGCCCTTCTGCCAGCCGGGCCGGCGATATGTAGATTGATGTTTCCAGAAATTTAATTTGCTATTGTTTGTCTTATAAATGCAACGATCATGCATATCAGCATGAAGCTAATACTGTTTAACATGATCCTTTGTTGATTGTCATCTCCACTATACCACTGATTCAATGGAATCAAAAGCAAAAAATCAGTCTTTCTCTTTTACTGGGTAACCGTTATAATATGTTGTTTATTAACCTGTGCATTAGAGGGTTCTACATGCACTTGTCTGACCTTGTACCCAAGCCAAAATAGATTAAATCTCTAATAAGATAATGGATCATCATAGAGCATGTTGATTGCACTAATCTTTGACCACGCTCTGCCATATGCTGTATTTGTTCGTTGTTTGATGGCTGTGTTTGACAGGTTGTTTCTACAAGTGTGTGTGTGTTGTATACACACTCAAATTACATTTACATGTATGCATGTAGGCCTATACTGTACATGGATATACTGTCTGTATTGTAACTTGTAAGGTGAATGCAGTAAAGGATGATTTGTAAATCAAAAAATAAAAATAAAATGCAACAAGTATTTGGAGGACAGGATATTAGGATAATGTCACATGTGCTTAATGTTTTTGCAATTTCTTTGAAACTGAAATAATGATTGTTGGCTTGAAATACATTGCAGGATACCCCTGTATGTGGCAGTAGAGTACTATTAGCAGGGAGCCTGTGATAAGATCCACTAGGTTTTTTTCTTTACCGGTATTCTTTACAGAGTCGATAAAGGTCATGTTGGCTGCATTAGAAAACTGCATTTGCATATTTACCACAGGATATAATATTTCTATCTCCTTTCTCCCACGCATTGCTTTTTCATTTCTAGAAAATCCCAGGTACACATTTGGCTAGTGTGAGTCCGTTCCTCTGCATCTTTATCTCAGCAACTACAACTACCAATCCCTGACAAAGAGAGGAGTGTTCCTAAGCAGACCAGTTGGGGCTTTACCCCTCACCTTCCCTTCCCCGGCCCCCATCTTGATCCAGTCCGCCCTTCTTAACACCACCACTATCTGCATCACCACCACCATGTCTGGGTCCAAGCTATCCACCCCTAACAACAGCGGAGGAGGACAGGGGAACCTGTCTCAGGAGCAGATCATCACAGGCACACGGGAGGTGATCAAGGGTCTGGAACAGCTCAAGAATGAACACAATGACATCCTCAACAGCCTCTACCAGAGCCTCAAGATGCTCAAGAAGGACACACCAGGTGACTCTAACCTGGTGGAGGAGAAGACTGATATCATCGAGAAGTCCCTTGAGAGTCTGGAGCTTGGTCTGGGTGAGGCTAAGGTGAGTTAAACTGCCCTTTTCGTTTATTCAACCATACATGTAGAATCATCTTTAGAGCCAGAAGGATATACTTCAAAGTTAACGTCCTTCTAACTCTGAACAGCCAAAATACTCCAGTTTGTAATGGTTGCAGATGAGCAAATTTTATAATCAAAAGAAGAATTATGTTTTTCGTTGTATAAAAGTAATACCTCATATTTCCATACTGATAATTAAAAAAATGGAAGGCGAGAGAGCGAGTACTGAGTGGGGAGTGAGTGGGAAAGATTTTTTTTTTTTTGCTGAACACATAATAGTAAACTACAACAACAACAAAATCCTCTTATCGTTAAAGTTGGTACAACAGTTAATAGAAAAATAGACATTAAAAAAAAAACATGAAAGTGATTTTTATACTTAAAACTTTGATAATTTTTTACTTCAGTTCACATATTATGATGATGTTTATTATACTGGAAAAGGACAGTAACCTCATGTTGATCCATCAAATTGATATTAGATCTTGAAACACTAGGACTGAGGCCTTCTTATCCCCAAAGAAGCTGCTTTCTTGAGCTAACAAAATATTTAATAAAGTGTCGGATGATCTCAAAGTTGAGGATGCTTTGAAGAGAGGGATAATGAAATCAGAAGATATTGGTATTGATTTGATTGGCCTCAATAAACAGTGTCATATGGTGCCAACATGCTTCACTATTGTGGCGACTGAAATAATAGCCATGAGGCACTGAACCTACCACAAGGGTATTCAGTCCTTTCACACAATCAATATCTATACTCATTGAAAGCTGTCACAGCAAACCCTGAATTTATAATACGTGTATATGTCCAGACACTCAATGCTAAAGTACATGCATTGACAAAACTCAAACTGTGTCCACCACAATGTCCAGTTTGTAGAGAAGTAGGAACTTGGTACCAAAATGAGAACTGTTTTGTTTATAGTAGGTGATGAGAAATGGTTGTACTTGGCTGCAGATATGCAGAAAGGTGTTTGCTTTTACACGAATGAAGGCGCAGCTAGAAAACTGTTTCTAAAAAGCCTTTACCTCTTTACCTTTGAAAATGTTGCAGAATTTTTAGAGATGACTGAAATTCTTTGGTGATTTAGAGATGGAATAAATATATCCTAAAGGCTTGTTCAGATATGGGGGGGGGGGGGGGGGTATTTAAACCGCCAAGAAAAACAAACGCCACAGTTTTTAAAATGAATGGCAACTGCGCTGAACAAAGGACTTGCCCGTATTCACCGAGCTCTGTGTATTAAGATACAGAAATGTGAATTTCTCCTTGTCACATGACCTAGACTTAAGGCCAGCATGTTAACATGAGGTACATGAAGTGAGGGATACTCCATGCACGTGTGCATTTGTAGTGCTCCATTTTATTAGCTTTATTTATATATTTTATAACTTTCCGGTTCCAGAGTCCACGCATTGATTGTTTGCACTATCTTCTCTGTAAATTTATTATTTTACTCCTTGACCTAAGCAACTAAACATAACATGTGAAACAAACTGACTTTTTTCATACTAGGCCATTCAAATGTAGATCTAGGCATCTTGTGTATTCAGTTTATTTGCAGTCAAACATTTTTGAGTCACATTAAAGGATTTGAGAAAAGAAACAGAAAATTAAAAGTAATAAATCAGAGGTATAAATCAGATATTTAGTGTCCAATACACACACATTTGTTTTTGTCTGTAGAGATGCACAAATAAACATATTGATGTAATCAAGGAATGAATCCTTAGTGTAATTATAATCAACCTAATATTGCTTATTAGTCAAACTGATAAGTTTCCTGCGATGGCAATCAGAATTTTTTTATTTGTCTCGGGCACTTCAGAGTTAAAATCCACTGACAATTGCTTTTGGCCACATATCATCAGATTTTGACAAGAGACCATTGTATGAACTACTAGTTTTATTATTCTTTAAGCAAGTCTGAAGATGTCATTTCTATTGCAGATCAGGAATTCATATTTCTTTGATAGGGACATGCTGGGTATTTTTTTAATATTATGATTATGCTAATAATAATTGCTTTCTTAGACTTACCCCAGATACATAGAATCTATATCATTGCCTTGAAATGCCAGCCTTTTTGTAGCACCATAAAATAGAAGTAGAGAAAAGGAATCTAACAAAATAAAATGATATGACTTTATAGGAGTAAAAGAAGACAAGATTGAGAAAAAAATTGAGGCCAATATTCATTGTACATTATTTGTAAGATATCATATAATGATATTCACCCTCAAAACATGTAGGTTATACACACCTTTTCCATGCTTCCTCACATCGTATATCATTTTGCTAGCTTTCTGTGGTGAAAGAAATAAAACATGGTCGTCATTGAAAGCCAGGAGAAGAAGGAAATCCTTAAAGACTTCCCATTTTGCAAGGATTTAGGTTCCCTTTCAAGGCATTTGTGCAAAAAATATAGTTTTCACAGTTTATATTTCTGGAAAATAAGTAAAAAGAAGCTTAAAGATGAAGTTGAGTTCTGGTCATGCGATTGCATTGTGAAAGAAACGGTGTGGAACCGACCAGAAAAGGTTGATCATCTAGCATATAAGAATTATTGCAAGGTTCTGGAATCATCAAAATGATAAGAAATTTGGCCAAGTCTTGGTAAAGTTACAAACACTTGCACAGAAAGATGTATATGGGACTACACGAACACGTGGCGTAAAAAGCCGCCCCCCCCCCCCCCCCCCGATTTTTACAATGTTACATGCATATTTAGAATATGAAGGCATTTGAAGAGCCATGCTTTTCAGGGAACATGTCTTATCTGATGTTCTTCCACACGTGCATAAGAAGAATGAGTAATGCTCACAAATTATTTTTCACCTTTTCCCAGAACTCAACCTTCTCTTTAAATGTGGTAAACATGTCATTCACATTATTGCATTAGTGAAAAACATTCATTAAGTTGTTGAGCAAGAGGCCTACATGGTAAATGGCAGGTATATTGTACTATATGCTTGTCATAGGAAAATAGTTGTAGAATGATAACCTACATGTATCAGGCTACTTTCCATATGGATCCAAGTTCATGTTTAATTCTTTCCAGCAAAATTGATCATGCGCTATTGTTGTGAATTGGTAGACAAATGATTTGCTATTTCTATTCTGTTGGCTACATTGAAAAAAATGCTCAAGGATTTTTCACTTTTCAATCGATTAGGCCCACATGGACATGTATATACTGTATGTATGTCATTATTAGAGGAATGCATACTTTAATGGAGAGATATGAATGAATCAATGCTTGGATGGGTTGTTATAAGGTCAACCAACTATTCATGTACATTACACATATCCTTTTCATTTTGTGTGTGTGATACATATACATGTATATCAAATCCTGATGGCAGTAAACCTGTATTACTGTACATGTATTTTATGCTCTATTAAAAGTCATTATAAACATTTAAACAAAGGATGCAGACTTTACATGTAACATCGAAAGTTTGCACATGCAAGTGGAAGTTGTTACTCCAACAGAGCCAATTCAAGGGCTATACCATGTTAAGTCCATGGCTATACTATCCCAAGTGCTTCCAGATTTATCTAATCTGTGATTAAAGAGAATAAGGCCTCTCGCTATTGAATGCCTAAAAACAGACATTGTAAACACACCCCTCCTATATGTACCCAGCAGACTGCGCTGTGAAACTCAGATAGCATTCTATGCATTCCATGTCACGACTGAGTAGAGAATCTGTACATCAGTGTAATATGTGCAGCTCTGTTGCTCTCCTTTCTATAGGAAGTGTTTTATGGGCTGCTGAAGTAAAACAAGCAAAATATTTCCATTCTCTCAGATCATCACACATGGTGAATTTCATTCATGTCTGTAGCCTATAGACAAAAGGGTCATCTCTGCAGATATACATGTACAATATAAATGTAGCTACTGTACATGTACATTATCTTTTTTTAAAGGCTATCCATAAATCTTGTAAGTCATGCAACTTCTGAATAAATGAGCACATTAAAAAGTAGATGCAAGAATAATTTTGGGCTATTTTTCTGAGAGCAAAGAAAATATTAAAAAACAATGTATAAACTAATGAAATTTGCAGTGCTACAAAAGTTCAATAAGATACAGAAACGTCATTAGATATAGGCCTACATGTATTTTATCTTTATTTACTGGCATGTTCTGATTCACTGTGTACTTTATTTTCATAATTTGTATTTAAAAAAAATCAAAGTCCATATGAATATAGCAAGTCGGGTGTAAAATTCAGAAATTACAAATTTATTACTTGAATAATATATGTGTGTTTCGCTGTGCTAGATTTTAATTCTTAAGGCGGAATAAAGATGGATTTGCTTTTACTCTTGGTAACACAGATTTGATCCACAGGGTGATTATCGTTTCCAAGGCGATATATTAAGGATTCATTATGTATTCATCAGTTGAGGCTTTGCAGAAATTGATAGCAAACTGGGTCATGAGATTGGCCAATGATATAATTCATTTATTATTGCCAGATTCTAGTCTTATCATCAGAGCATTGCTTAAAATGTTAGGATTTCATTAAATGTACCTAGAGAATGTGGAATTAATTTGATATGCATGCTGTCATATTGTAAGTATGCATTGAAGATGGATGAATAAGGAAATAACAATCAGCTCCTCCTTAGTTAAGGATGATGGCAAAGGTAGACAGCAAGTAGTAGATTTTATAATAGACATATTGCTCCATAACTATTTTTAGTATACCTGAAGATTCAATGTATTATTTTGAAATGGAAGCGTTTTGTGCAAGCACCAGAAACTGACTTTGAATTCAATTACATGTCCATGATTCTCAAAATTCCCTGCTTTTGCAATATGAAAATAGATGGATTGCTTTTTAAAAGAAAGCATATGTTTTGTAATGAAATGTACCGATATAATACAACTTTTCAGGACTCTTCAATCCTCTCTCTCTCTCTCTCTCACATGGTGCACCCTCAAGCCTACTGTATATTATAAT